CCCCCTACCCCTGCCATGGGCCGTCTTTCTCTGGTCCTCACTTCTGGTTTCTCTCCCGCAGCAGGACAGCCGCGCGGGGCTTTGCCCCGGAGAGCCGGTGACCGGTGACCGGCCCTCTCCGCGCCCGCGGGGTGGGTGTTACCGCCCTGCCAGCTCTAGCACCCGGGTGTCCTGCTGGGGCCGGAAGGAGGCAGCAGAGCTATCCCGGGAAGCCTCGGAAAGGCTGGTTACGCGTTCGTGCTCAAGTCCTTATTTAAAGGAGTCATGAAATCAGGGCTGGAAACCTGTCATTTCAGCGCCTAAGCTCCCGTGGGCAGTGCGGGCCTCACCCGGGAGCCCCTTCTTGCTTCTTGCTCTCTTTGCCTGCTGGTGGGAGGAGCTGTTGGCTGGACAGGGGCTGCTCAGTAAAGAGGGCGAAGGGTCTCAGAGTGGGTTTAGGATGTGAGAGGCGCCTTCAGTGCTGGGAAAGTGCCACGTAGACAGAGATGAAAGCCGCGCAGTGTCCTTCCAGACGTTAGACCGAGGCAGACCGCCGAGGGAGGCCGAATCGTGCCCGGCATCCTCAGCTTGCTGGAGGTCTCTGTCTTCGATCTGAAGCAGGTTACCTGGCAGGCTGTGCTCAGCATTGAGCAGCAGAAGTTCTCGGCTGTTAGTTTCTAAGAAGTGCCGGAGGCTCTTTATTTTTTAATTTTTAAAGATTTTACTGATTTATTTTTGAAAAGATTTTATTTATTTATTATTAGTCAGAGGGGAAGGGAGGGAGAAAGAGAAGAGAAACATCAGCATGTGGTTGTCTCTCGCACGCCCCCTACTGGGGACCTGGTCCACAACCCAGGCCTGTGCCCTGACTGGGAATCAAACCGGCGACCCTTTGGTTTGCAGGCCGGCACTCAGTCCCTCGAACCACACCCGCCAGGGCTCAAGGCTCTTTATTAAAACACAGGTTCCTGCCTCACTCCCAAATGATCTAGATCTGTAGGCCTGGACTCGGGCCCCAGAGGCTGCATTGTAGACCTGCGCAGTCACAGTGGGTCACACTCTGAGCGGCAGGAGTCTTGTTACATTGCAGGCTCCCTCCAACCCCGACGTGCTGGGTTTCGTGGTGGGGTTTTAATGGGAAAGGCTGGGGTACCAGGGAGGGGGCAGAGCGGTGCCAGTTGTACAAAAGGTGAGGAAGCGCCCCTTTTTAAGGCTGGCCCTGCCCTTGTGTGGCCCTGAGGGAGACACCTCCTTACCCCGTGTGCCCCGGTGCCTCTCCTGCCTCACACTACTCCGGGCCCTGCCGGCCTCCAGCCCTGAATCCAAGGTGACCCCAGGTTGGGGGACCTGTGGGAGGAGAGCATGCATGCGAGGCGACTTGACTCTTCCTTGCGACGTGTGGCCACGCCCCGCCCTGAGCGAGCTGAAGCGGGCCGGGCGCCCGCCCGAGACGCACAGGGGCCCTTTTTGTGCCAGCATAGAGCATGGTGGGTGTGAGCCAGAGTCAGTGACAGGAAGGTAATTGGAAAATCCCCACGTCTTTGGAAGTCAAGCAACATATGCACAAATAGCCGGTGGGTCAAGGGAAAATTACAATGAGTATCAGAAAATCGTTTAATTGAATGATAATTAAAATGTGACGTATTAAAACATGTGAGATGCAAGTAAGCCTATTTATAAGGAAACTGATAGCCTCAAGTGCATATATTAGAGAAGGAGAATGGTTAAAGAACAATGATTGGGACTTCTCAAATGGCTAAGTGAAGGGGCCGGATGGCTTTGGAGCCCAAAATATGCTCATTTCCAAAGCATCATTACGATAGGACTTGTCTGGCAGTTCACTGACAAGCTCCATCTACAGAGCTTGTCTCCATTTGACCTAACTCAAGGCTTTGTGCGAGTAGCCCTATCCTCAGGGCGTTTATTTATTTACTTTTAAATAGTGGTACTTGTTTAATATCACAGTTTCCAGAGGCAGTGTTATCAGCTGGAGCTAATAAGAGGCTGATCAATAACTTAGAAGGGAAAACTGCAAAATAAGACACCAGCTTTAAAAAATTCTAACATATTTCTGGGAATGACTGTGCATGTGCCCAACAAAGATCCAAAAAGGCTGTGAGTGTTCACCTTGGGCTGACCCTGGGTCCCCGCGCAGGCAGGAAGTGAAGGCTAAGGCAGCCTTGTAAAGCACCTGTCTGAGCCTTGAAAGCACACCTAACACACACACACACACACACACACACGCACCCAGCCTCTCAGCAAAGGAAGGGAGATCTGTCCATTGAAGGAAATCTCTTCGTTCAACCACTAGCTGACCACGAAGCTAATCAAACAGACTTCCGTGGCTACACATGACAGAAAATATAGGCTTTTCAGAAGTAATCCAGGAAAGTCACTAAACAGATAAATAGCAACAACAACAATGAAAACAAACAACAAACCTGAAGAGAAGGGCTCTGTTTCCAGGATTGCCATATTATAGTATTTGTAATGTAACTGAATTATTTAAGACTGTGTTATTTAAAATTGTTTTATTTTAGTGTCCAATTTCAATAAAAACTTATGAGACATGCTGAAGAGAAAGAAAAGGACTAATGGCCCATAAACGGGGAAATAGCAATCAATAGAAACTATTATTCTGAGTTATTCTCTTTCTGGTTAGAAACTATCCCTGAAGGATTCCAGATGTTGGGCTTACTAGATCTAGATTTTAAATCAGCTATTACAAATATGGTCAAGGAACTAAAAGAAACCTAAAGAATTAAAGTATGAGAACTATGTCTTACCAGATGGGTGGGTATCAATAAAGACATAGAAATTTGTATATATATAAAAGAACCAAATAGAAATTCTTGAGTTGAAAATGAAAAATTGTGGGAATCAACAGAAGATTGGAACTGGCAGAAGAAAGAACCGATGAACTTAAAAACAAGTCCACTGAAATTATCCAGTTGAAGCAACAGCATGAAGAAAGAATGAAGACAAGTGAACAAAACCACAGGGACATGTGGTAAATTATCAAGTTACTAACATTATATTAGAGGTGCCCTACAAAGAGAGGAGGAAAAGAAAGTGTATTTAAAGACTTTTTGAGACACCAAAATGTCTCAAATTTGAGGAAAAACTGCCTTGATTCTGAATATCCAGGAAGCTCAGCCAACTGTAAGTGATACAAAGGCAAAAAGAGCCACATCTAGGCACGTAATTGTCAGACAAAGAGAGAACATGGGCAGCAGCAAGTGATTCGTCACACGTGCTTCCCCCCCCACCCCAAAACATGATTTCCCAGCAGCCCGCTCCCAGACACCACCCGGGTAGAATGTGAGATAACAATCACTAGCTGTTGAGGTCAGGGAGGACAAGGAAGGAATCTTCCAGACCCTTCTTGCTCTCTATCCACTGCTTCAAGTCTCTTACTCGGGGCTCCATCCGGGTCCACCCCTCCCTGTGAGCTAAGGACTGACAGGGGACAGAGGGACCCTCGCAAACAGTGCTGGGGCATCTGTGAAAACGGCATCACTAAGGATACGACACAACAATGGCTGCCCACTCTCTGAGGGCTGCCGGACTTGCCCCCTTGGCAAACAGCTAAGCGGTAAGTGACTGTTGGCTTTGGGTTGACTATTGGGTCCGAGTATAGCATAATGTATAATACTTTTCCTAAAGTAAGTTCCTAGTCTTTAAGTAGGATACTGGAGATTAAGCCTGTTTCTTTGATTCGTGATTTTTAGATCAATGTAGATGCTCATTTACCATTTTGTATTGTACTTTATATCTAAATACACAACTACATATTTGATATTGAACTTACGTTTATCTTTCTCAAAGATAATTTCAGTGGTAAGGACAGAAACTTAAGAGATTAATTTTTTTTTTTCCTGACATTCTGACGCAAGAGACTGCCACTTGTTCAGCTGGCATTTACTGAACATTTGTTACGCACCAGACATCATGCCAGATGCTAGAGGTAGAGCAGGCAGACCCAACGTGCCTAGTGGGGCGGGGGGGCCTCCACTCAGCCTGAACTTGAGGCCGGAGAGGCTGTCTGGAGGAGGTCATTCTTAGGCGAGTCGTGGGTGGCGAGGGGAAGTGAAGCGGGGTCAGGCAGAGCTACCCAGCGAGAACAGCACCAAGTGGCAGCGGGAACAACGTTCCTGCTTGCGAAGTTCCAGATGTCCAGGTCAGAGGAGGTGTCTGAAATGTCAGCCTGCCCTGGTGTATAGGGGCAGTTCTTAACTGTCCTTAGCGTGACCTTTCGGCGGTCTTACGCAACTGTTTGAACAGGCTTTAAAGTGATCTGTTTGAACAGGCTTTACACTTATTGAAGCTTCGGTTTTCTTAGTGACAAAATGGGATTAATCAACGGACTATCTATCTCACAGTGTGGCTGAAAGAATTAAATGGGTAATGTAGGTTAATTGCCTTACATAAAAAAGTGAGCAGGTAGTGATGTTATTACTGATATTACAATTAGAAAGGTTATTGTTATCAAAAGCTATCAGGCAACCCGAGTTGACCCTGAGGATTTGTTCATGGAGTTGCCCAATCTGACTCAACAAACCCTTGTTTAGGGCCAGCTGGGTGTTCTCGCAGCAGAAAGAAAGCAATGTAGGACTCAAAGAATGAGGAATCCCCCTTGCCCCCAAGATACTAATAGTTACGCAAATAGTAAGAATAAGACAAATAACCATAATACAACAGAAAATCTGAGCTCCCAACCTCAATGAAACTCAGTTCAATTCAACCCACGTTTGCAACATTCCCTTCTATACGCACAGCTTTATGTTAAATGTCAGGTTACAGGACCGGCAGCGTGGCTCGCTTACCCTAATTTCAATCAAACCTGACCAGTAAACAATGGGACAGTGCAGAGACAGGTAGCAGCGAGGAGGCGGGGATGAACTTTGGAGGCAGATTTCCGAGGGAATGGAAAAGCAGGCACTCAAGCCCATAGTGTGGGGGAAAGGTAATCCTGACAGAGGACGTGGCACGTGCCCTGGTGTGGAGACGGGACACGGTGATCGCGTCCGGAGAGCTGGATGTGGTAGCTCATTGGTACTGAGGCTTAGATTTGGACTGCAGTGGAGACCAGGTAGGAAGAGAGAGAGACAAGCGGGAGTCTGGTTGCAGAGAGCCTCCTCCGGCATTTGGATCTGACATTGGGCTGTGGGGTTTTGAACAGTTGCGAGCACCTCTGGGGTGCTGGGACGGTGCTCAGAAGCACCCCAAGGTGACAGCGTCAGGGGAGACGGGAGGGGGAACCCAGTACCAGGGACCAGTCAGGCTGCTTCCGGCGCCCTGGCCTGAACTGACCGTGGTCAAGGAAATGGGGCAGGGGCTGTGGGTTCGAGAGTCATTAAGGATCTTCACTGGCAGGGCTGGATGAGGGACTCACAGTCCGGCGAGGGAGAGGAAGCTGTCAAGGAGGAGCGCCAGGTTCTGGCTTGTGTGACTGGGTGGATGGCAATGCCACCAGCTGCCCACAGTGCAGAAACCCTCTCTTCACTCCCCCGCCCCACACACACTGGCTGTGTGTCCTTCCTTCTCCCCCACTCCCTGCTCCCACGTCAGAAAACAGAAAAAGGGGGAATCCTGCTAATCTGAAGGGACTCATATTGCTCCACAGTGTGCTGCTTGGCCAGACCCTGGCAGCTACTTCCAGAAAGCGCAGAAAGGAGACCAACGCCCTGACCACGTGTGAGCGCCCTTTGTCCCCCTGCACCGGAACTGTTTTCCCGTGCCTAGCCCTTTTTTCACCCGTTGACCCCCTTTTGTACTTACCAGATTTTTGTGGGTAGTTCTCTATCTGATCTCTCAAATATATGGCAATATTTGGAGATCTCCCTTTCCCTCCCCTTCCCTCTCCTTTCTTGTTGAGAAGCAATTTCCTTGTTTACTGAGATTCTATGTTGTTAGACATCTGGAGCTTGAATATATTGACAACACCATCAAAGCCATGACAACCAAGCATGATTTTCTACCAAAGCTTGTTCCTCAAACACCACCAAGGGGACAAAGAAAGAAATGGTCGGTTAAAGTTTCCCAAACCAAATGGTACCGACCCAAGGGCTGGTCCTCTGCGCTGCGATACTCATGAGCGTGTTCTCTCTGGTGCCCCCGCAGGGTCCGACCAGCCGACCTGGACTTGGCCAGCAGCCCTGTGGTCCATCATGGCCAACGTACTATCCTGGCTGAGCAAGAAGATGTTTCTCTTCAAGGTGTGTAAATGGATGGGACTTGCTTACTTCCAGTCGGTGGTGGGCTCCTTGCTCAACATTCGCCAGAAGAAGCTAACCCACCAGCTGCAGGAGGAAAAGGCTTTTCGTGAAGAGATAAAAATTTTCCGTGGGAAAATCGAAGACTTCAGGGCAGAGATGTGGCATTTCCGAGACAAGATCCGTGCTTTCCAGGGCCAGGCCCTGGACTTTTGGGAAGAGGAGAGACCTTTCTGGGAAGAGGAGAACACCTTCTGGGAAGAGGAAAGAGCCTTCTGGGAAATGGAAAAGTCTTTCCGGGAGGAGGAGGAAGCCTTTTGGAAAAAGTACCGTCTATTCTGGAAGAAGGGCAAGGCCTTGTGGGGGAGAGATCAGAACCTTCTTGAGGAGGACAGGGCTCTGTGGGAGGAAGAAAAGGCCCTGTGGGCAGAGGAGCGAGCCCTCCTGGAAGAGGAGAAGGCCCTGTGGGAAGAGAAGAAGTCCCTCTGGGAGGAACAGCACGCCCTCTGGGACGAGGAGAAGGTGTTCTGGGTGGAAGGCGGCGGCCATGTTGCTGAGGTGCAGATGCCCGAGAATGGGAACCGCAATGTGCCTGGGGGGCTGCGGCCGCCCGGCTTCTCCCGGAGCCGGGCATGAGCACAGGAGACGAGGCTTCATGGGGTCCAGACTCTGCTGGGCTGGGATTCGAGTCTGGGGTGACTCCGTGGGCTGGGGAAAATTGGCACTTTTTGGTCTCCTTGGTCCGAAAGATCTAATAAAGTCCTGAAGAGCGAATTGGAAAACCGACTCCTTCAAGAAAGGCCAGGTCCCCATTTTCCAGGTTGTGTGATTCTTGAAGGCTGGGGTCCTGTCCTCCAAGCTGTATTGCTGGCTGCAGAGCTTGGTCCCGGGAGCCCGCCGAGAGCCTGGCATGCGTGGGTGTCGGTGACAGAGAGTACACGCCTCCTTCAAAGTCAGAATTCGGGGGACCTGGGAAAAGAGAGGCTCAGACAATGCCAGCTGGAAACACACAGGGACGCAGGGGCTGAGACATCTGTGCCTCTGTCACTTTGTGGGGCACTCAGGTGTCCTCCACTCCATGCAGTCCTGGAGGCCAGGAGTTGAGAGCTTTCTAGAAAAGCCCACCACGCAGTGAACACGTCTTTGATGCCTCATCCTCACGTGGAAGGCCATTTAGAACACACAGGCCCAGTCCTCTCATCGGCCGCCTGCCCGTGGTGCCCTGTTTCCACCTCACTCCCTCAACCGCCCATCCTCTGCAGCAGGAGAAAGGGGCATGGGTGGGGCTGAGGCTCTTGGGCGCACCCTCAAAAGCACTTCCCTTCCCTGAGGGAGGAGTCAGAGCGGGCAGCACAGAAGGATCGCCTGGGAGTCTTCACACAAGTCGCACAGTACTTGCATTTCTGCGTTATCAATGCCTGCCTTTGCGTTTTCCTCCTTCCATTCATTTAAAATTGAAATGAAGGCAATACATGAAATGAATGTACATGAGTGAGGTCAACTAATGCCCAACTTTATTAGGTGGTCTTTATGAGCATGGGGATGGAAATCAGCGCGCCTTCCCCACGTTTGTGACGTTAGAAATGTCAGGGCCAACGTCTCCCATTTTGCTCCTTCTTAGGCCTGGCCCTCGTGGTTATTACCACATCGACTGGCCTCGCCTATGCACAGCCCTTACACTCGACAAGCACTTTCATCTTCGCCAACTCACGTAACCTTCACCACAGCTCTGTGGGTCGACAGGGCAGGCACATAAACCCATTGTACGGATGAGAAAACAGAGCACTAGTGAAGCAAAGTGCTTGCATACGGCCAGGCAAGCAGCCCATGGAAGGGCCAGGACTAGAACTCACCTAGTCGGCCTCTTGGTCCCATTTATTTTCTGATATAGCCCTGGGTCATGGAACCTTCAGGGTAGCCCAGCCAATAATGGCGTCAGGGCTGGATCAACCTTAAAGCCACACGGTGGTTTGGGGGAATGGAGGAACGCTGGGGAGAGGAGAAAGGACAGGGTCCCCCTAGGTGTGTGGAGTAAATGCTCCCAGTCACAGGAGGTGGCAGGCCCCTGTGCCTGGGTGTCATTCTGGGGAAGCAGGAGTTCTGCGCAAGCCCCCCCGAGTCTTCCTTTGCCACACACACCCGGCCTTGCCTGCTCGGCTTCCAGAGGGCTCTGGGCAAAGACAGCAGCTGTGGGAACAAGAAGCTGGTGCTGAGAATCCCATTTCCAGGGGGACGGGGCGGGGGGGGTCCTCCCTCAAGGAGACCCGTCCAATGGATGGCACGCAGCATGGCAGGAACTCCAGTGCAGCGGAGCTGCAGATGCAGCATCCCCAGGAATTCCGCCCCAAACAAAAGCAGATGGGAGGTTGTTGATGTTGAGAGCAAAAGATGTAAAGCAGGTGGAGGCTGGCGGCGGGAGCATGCTGCGTGGGCGCGCAGCTTCTCACCTCTGGGTGATCATCACTGCTCTTAGCACAAACAGAGGCAGGTCTCTCCCCAGCCTCGGCAGCGCCACTGAGCTCCTGCAAGGTTTCCTGGGTGTTCCGTGACTCCAGACCCAGGCAGCCTTCTGGGGACAGCTGGGCTCCTCTGCCTCGATCTCCTGGCAGCGGGGTGGGTCTCCCGTCCTGACTCAGGGTCCTGCTCACTCAGCTGGGCCCCAGGTTCACAACCATAATGCAGACACTGGCAGATGCAGGTGCCAGGCGGAGTGTCTGTTGCTGTAACTCATGCCTCACCATGAAATTCACGCTGAGGAACGGTCACCTTCCCCCAAAACAGGAACACCCCCTCCCGCTGAAGCTCTTACCTGAACCTGCCAGGAGGGGAGCGACAGCACTTCAGAAACACAGTGGGTGGGTCCGGGACATGGAGCTCCCGGGGGAATGCCGGCCACACGTGCAGGCTGTGGGCTTCATGCATCAGACACACCAAACGTGCTTGTGGCAAAGGCGGTCCCTGGGTTCTGCCTACAGAATCTGAGTCTCTGGGACTAAGAAGCAACGCCTGCGTTTTTAAGATGTTTTCTGGACCATTCTGATGCAAACTAAATTCTGGAAACCGCTTAAATGTAGTAGAAAGAGCCCTGGGAGAGAAGCCAAAGGCCCCCATTCTGTCTCCAGCCTGCCACTCGTGGTTAAGAGCGTGGGCACACAGGTGGCACCGCTGTCTCCGCAGCTGCAGAAGTCGTGGGCATCTGGACTGAAGAAGCTCCTGGCTGGTGAGTGTTAGGAGCTTGGTATGAAATGGGGAGCTTCTCCTGAGTGGTTAAGATGGGGAAGAACAGTTCAGGGGACCTGTGTCCTTTCTCTGCAGCCCCGGAACAGCCTCCCTGCATGCGGAGGTGTAGCCAAATCACAGCCCCCAGCTCCTGTTTGCTGGATACACAGGAGAAGGGAAGATCAGGTATCAAAGAGGCAGCACCTGAAGCGACCTCACAAAGCTCTTGCTAACTTGCCACCGTCTGTGCACGGGCCCGAATCCCCTCTCAGTAGCCTGGGCCCGCTTCTAGGGGACAAAGTTACACTCGGTATAGTGTAAGAGATGCAAGTGCCAAGTAAGAAAAAAAATATTCATCTGGTAAAGATTCACTATGGGTCACAGACCAATGACACACCAAAACTCCCTGCTGTAGTTAACCTGGATTTTGCTAGAACCTTCTTGACATCCCTATACATTCCCTGAGAGGTAGTGGGTGCCTGGAGATGCCGAAGAGAGTTCTCTGGTCCTCCAAGGGTGACTGTGCTTGCGTGTCATCTTTGGAACTTGTGACATGGCTTACCATTGAACTCAGACCCAGAAGAACAGGTCCTGCGTTAACTCATTGTTGTTCATAGCTGTGGAGGCAGCGTGAGAACGTGAATGGGCTTAGCTCAGGGGTCAGACAGGTAGTCCCAGGTGCCAGCAGCATCCGCATCGCTCACCAGAGGATGGCTCTGCGTTTCCTAGGGCAGCTCTAACAAATCACCACAAACATGGCGGCTTTAAGCAACAGAAATCGACTGTCTCACCGCTCTGGAGACCAGGTGTCTGAAATTGGGGTGCTGTCGGGTCGGGTGCTGAAGGCCCTGGGGACCAGTGCATCCCAGGACCCTCTCCCAGCTTCTGTTGGCTGCTGGCCATCTCTGGCAGGCAAGACGCATCATTCCAACCCCCGCAAAATATTTCTAATAAGACACATAAAATCTGAAACAACCAAGGAGCTAAGGGACGCAGTTTGCTTTTACCTGTGGTGTTTTGAAATTTACGATGAGGTCTTTTTCCCCACTTCTTCTAATCGCTTTGGCACCAAAGGTGCATAGCGTCCCTCTCTCTGCTAGCCACCGCATTGTTTACGACAGCCAAGAAACGAGAGTGGTGCCTCCTAAAGGGGCAATTCAACAGCAGGAATCTCTGGGAATGGCTGTAATTGTATTGTCTGCCTGCTCTCCACGCTGGCGACCGCGTGTGGTCGGCGAGCTGTCCTGTGTGCGCTCGCCTGCGTCTCTCCCTCGCTGGGTTTTCAGCTGCATTGCGGGGCCACTGAAAACAGCCTGAATCCGGGCCAGGCTGCACCCAGGCGTGGACGCCCAAAGCCCAGGTGCCAGAAGCGGAGGGAGGCCAGCCCGGGTCCGCAGCCGCTCCATGCCTGTCCTCTGCCGCGCGGGGGCCTCCCCCGGAGCACCTGGACAGACAGCCAGGAAACACAGGCTGTGCCCGGCGGCTGGGACTTTCCCCTGGAAAACGTACCCACGGGGCAAACATCTGAAGCCTCAGGAAAAAAGTTATTGCCACACGTGCTCCAAAGACGACAAGTAAAATCACCACAATGTGTTGTCACGGAGGGGCGGAGGGACCCTTGCCCACTAGCAACCTTTGTGCCCATTTTCCTAACTCCCACTGGTCACCAGCATCTTTCAAACAATCAATCAAATTTTCTAGGAGACAGTATCCCACTGCCAGACAATCCGGGTCCCACTGGGAGTCTTCAGCACATGTTCCCCACGGGAGGGACATCACGTCGGGGCCGTTAATGATAACTCGCGTCTGGAAGTGGCTAACGTGCCCCGGGCACGGTGCTAGGCACGCCCGCCCGCAGTGCCTTGTGGCCTTCGCAAGCCAGCGGAGGGGAGTTCACTCCTCCTATACTGGTTCGGAAGCTCAGGACGGCAGGGTGCCGCTCCTCGAGGGGTACGGCCAGGTTTTGACCGAGGTCTGCCCATCTCTGAGGCTGGGAGCGGTTAACCTCTCCACCACCGTGCAGGCTCGGCGGGGATGTCCTCTCGGGGATGTCCTCTCAGGGACTCAGGGCAGGCTGCCGGGGAGTGCCAGGCTCTAGGACCACTGGAAACACGAGAACCGGAGTGCACAGCAACTGGACAAAGGCTGTTCCTTTTAAAGCAACCTGCACAGTCTGTGAAGGCTTAGAAGCTGACCCATACGTAGGTGCTTCCTCCGGCCCAAACAAAGAACGCACAAAGATGGTTGTTACCAGTCAGGATGGAAAGGCTGTGAGTTTGTTTGCCCCCTCCCCACCCTCCCACCTAGAATACGGCCACGGCCACCGCCACCGCCGCCGCCGCTGCAGCGGCAGCAGTAGCAGCAGCTGACACCTGCTGAACACTCGGGAGGTGCTTACCCCCGACCTCGTTCTATCCTCTCCACAACCTGGGGGCGTGGAAACCGTGATCACCCCCATTTCGTCCAGATGCCAACGCTGAGGCCTCAGGTCATGCTTTGTTACTTTTTTTTGAAATTGTGTCAAGACCTAAAGAAGACTGGACAGCAGGCCCACCACCCATCAAGGTTGCCTGAATCCATCGGTCGCCTCGCGCTTGTGTGGGTGGGGGCTTCCTGTGGGCTGCCTCCCCCACCCTCGGATCTCAGCACAGCAAAAAGGGCCCTGCTCCTCGGTGAACAGGTGAGAAATGAGAGGTCTGCAGCCGGTCAGTGGTGGCCCCATGCCGCCAGCATTGTACTGGGCACGGGGGGCGGGGGGGGGGGGACTCAGGTCTGCCCAGCGGGTGGGCTGGGGGCCTTGAGCCCAAGCAAACACAGGAGTCTCAGAACTTGGAGCTTTGGAGCCACCCAGAGGCACTGTGAGCCCTTAGAAACCTTTTTTGGTTGATGTTCAAGCTTAAAAAAAAAAATCTAAACCTGCCAGAAAATGCTATGAATCTCAGACCGCGGGTGATAATAAGTTGTCACAGTTGTGCCAACCTAGCAATGTGTGTGCTCAGCGAAGTGAACACTGGAGGTTCTGAGAGCTGGGCTGCAGCCACGCGTGTAAGCGCATCGTAGAGCGCGGCGCCGTGGCCAGGGCGGGACTCCAGCCCCACGTCAGACCCATCCACCCGCATTTCCACCACAATGATGGTCCATTTGAATTTCCAGATGCATCAAAATGATCGCGAGGATCCGGGCTCTGGCTGCAGACGGGGAGGTTGTTTTGGTCAGAGAGACACCTGGTGGCCCATGAGACAAACCACACTGCCCTGTCACAGGACGCCACGCGGGCCCCAAGCCTGGCCCCCAGGGGTGCCGGGGAGGCCCAGCTGCCTCTGCCAACGCGAGCGCCTGGTGTCTGCTTCGTAGGGCGGGTGGGGGCCCGGGGGCACAACGGATGGGGCCCCTGCGGCCCGGGGCCAGCGGGCTTTAACACCGCCGGCTCTGGGCCCTGGACAGCTGCCTTTGCCCCCCTCAGCGGGGTCCTCCCCTCTCTGCAGAGGGGACAGTGACACACGTAGCTCTTGATGCCACTGAGGACCAGCTCAGCAAGAGCGCCAGAGCCTCCTGCAGCCCCCGCGGTGTTTGAACGTTGGCTGTTGCCTGTCCTTACTGAGAACCAGGCGCCCCATCCCCGGGGCCCGCTGCAGCCACGCGAAAGGCTGCAATTTGGTGAGGGAGCTGGGGCCCTGTGGGCGGGCGGACGTCGCTCTTATGTCTGCATTCGTCTTCCGGAGTAGAGTGACGGAGCCTTCGGGATCGCGCAGCATCATTTAATGTGCCCTTTAATTTCGACCCCTGTCACTGCCTTCACACAAGGGAAAGTAGCAGACAAGTAGACGTCTCCCCCCAGAACGAACCCACACAATGGTGCTCATTTCCCTGCCCAAGCGGAGTGTGAAAATTGCAGAAAGTGGTGATTTAACTTCTACCAGCTCCACAACACTCTCCAGAACGCAGTCAGCGTTCCCACAGTCCCACCCATGGGGCAAGCAGAAAGGGAACCAGAGCCCGCACGAACGGTTGCTTCGCGCATTCCTTACTCCTTTTTAAACAACTGATGCGGTTAAGAAAATTTGTACGCAAAGAATAACTCAAGAAGATTTTTATATGCATTAGGGAATTTACGGAAATACTGACATGAAATTTTTAAAGCAAAAAACGGCCCTCTAAATTCAAATCTTTTTCTAATTAACCTCTTTGATTTTGCTATGCTGTGTTTTATTAAAACAAGCCTCACTTTTATTGATATTGGTTCTTTAGTAAACTAGTAGAAAAACTTAGGGATTTTTTTTTTGACATGCCAATTTCCAGTTGTCATTTTAAAAAATACCAGAATTATTGTATCCCCTTGCTTCTTCACTAAGGCCTAACAGACGGAAAACTTGTCAAGAATGCACAGATGTTATGATTTATGCGGCTGCACGCAGAATCATATCGAAGAATTTTGCTCAAGTGTTAGAAAGCGTCTGTCTTCCCAAGAAATCCAGTCCCTTCCTAAGGCAGCATCGACGTCTCCTTTCCACCAGGAAACATGCTTACAGCATGAAACTCCCGCCCTGGCGTCCAGGAGCCAGGCGAGCCTGGCGAGCAGCCGGACGGGGCGAGCTGTGCCGCAGGCCCCAGGGCGTGCCACGCGCCACGCCGATCCGCGATCCACTCCAGCACGCGGTCAAACAGAGCCACCAGACCATCAATCCCCTCAGTGATTCCACGGAGAAGGGCTGGTGCCAGGGTGCGAGCGGGAGCCTTTTTTTTTTTTTTAAGCTTTTATTTTAGAGAGAGGGGAAAGGAAGGAGAGAGGGAGAGAAACATCCATGTGTGGCTGCCTCGCGCGCGCCCCCTACTGGGGACCTGGCCCGCAACCCAGGCCTGTGCCCTGAGTGGGAATCCAACCCGTGACCCTTTGGTTCGCAGGCTCCTGCTCAGCCCCCTGAGCTACGCCAGCCAGGGCAGGGGGGAACCCTGGACTCTGGTAAAGGCTCCTGTCACCAGGGCACCTGTGGAACTTGCCAGGATGCCCGAGTTCCAGAGTAAGTCTGTGCCAGGGAAGACCCCACGTCTACTTCTCCTGGCAGGCCGGGAACCCCACATCCCCGCCTGCCGCGATTGTCCCCGCGTAGGCCTGGCGTCCCGGCATCGTCATCAACGGCCCCGCCTTTCATCCTCCAGTCTCCTGGTTTGGGTAATAAGGACCCTGCGGCCGCCCCTTCAGGCGTCTGCCCCCCCCCCCGCCCCGCCCCACCCGCCACAGATGCCCAGAGCCTCCCCAGCAGAGCCCCTGGGTCCAAGCTCTTCTACCGCCCCCCCCAACCTCCCGGACTTCTTTAGGGCCATGGGGGCCAGAACACAGCCACGCGGGTTAACCCGTGTGTGTCTGAGAGCAGCGTTTTGGAGACAACCCCTCTGACTGGAGGGGGCATCTCCAGGGTGACCCGGGCTGTGCCCCCGGGGACAGATGCCCTGGCGTGGGCGGCCCTTGACCTTCCGAGGGCTCGCCCGGGGCTGGGTGGACAATGGGAGGGCTTGGGCGGCCCTCTGGCTCTCCGTGGTTAGGACCCGGCCCTTCTCCCCTTGAAGGGCACAGCGAGCAAAGCCAGCCCCGCGGGAGTCTCCCCGAAGGCGGCGCTGCCGGTCCCGGCTGCACCCCCCACTCAGACAATGCCAGCCAGAAACACGTGTTTTTCTAATGAATAAAAAGAAACTTTATTCTAACACCACATATAAAGTTTCTGAAGTACGAATTGTTCTTATCTAACTCTCCTCCCCTCCCTGCAAATTCTTATACTTTGAACACCTAAAAGTTTATTTTCTGTACAATACATAAATATCTTCATGTCTACATAAACATATTTACGGTCCTAAAAGCTTTTTGAAAAATCAACGCAACTGGTGTCTCCAGAAGATGATTAGCCTGGTTAGAAGAGACAGTCCCCAAGCATAGCCAGGACTAAAGACAAATGGGGACACGTGGCAGGAAGGGGCTGGGGAGGAAAAGGAAGATGGGAAAGAATAAAAACACAGCAAAACCCTGCACTTGGATTTTAGAGGATAAGACCCAACAAAAACTCAATTACTTGCAAAAACAAGAACAAATCATCCAAGGGAAGGAGACGTGGCCTTGTGATCAAATTTCATTCCATGTCCCTCCCACGGACACATCGCCTGGCAGGCTTGTTATTCCAGGAGCAAGGGCCTTTCCGGTTTATTTTTATCAAGGGAAACATTCAAGACACAGCAGCAGTACAGAAAGACGGCAGAGCCCACAGGCCTCGGCTTGGACGCCAGCTCTGGCACGTGTGCTGGCGGCGTGGTCCCGGCAGGATGCTCAGCCCCCGGAGCCTGCTTCAGGGTGGACCATGTATTTGCTGGGCTGGTTTGTTGGGAGGATTAGCGGTAACTTGTGAAAAGCGTTCAACATTGCCTTGGAAAATAACTGACAATAAATTAAACGATTTTGTGCGTGCAACAAGGGATTCCCCTTAGAATTTAGACTAGGCAGAGCATTTACGATTCTAAGATTCTGATTCTACTACTCTATTCCCACGTCAGCAACTGCAAAGTCTGAAATTAGCCATGTTCCCATCCCTTCAACGTGACGCAGTCACGAAGAGCCATTGAAAAGTGACAAAAGGACTTGGCCTTTGCAAGGCCGGCGGCCACCCCTTTACTAAAGCACCACCAGCTCAGAGTGCAGCAGCGGCAGCAGCTTGTGGAGGGGCTGTGACGCCTCTGAATTGCATGATGTCAGGGGCACCCTTCACATGGCTTCTCTCTTGGACTGTGACAGTCACATGACAGACCCTGTCACCGAAGCTCCTGGTGCCATGAAGGAGGTTCCTGCAGGCACAGGCCTCCCCCACAGGTTCTGGGGGCTGAAGCACAGGGACCCCACAGGAGGCGGGATTTCTCAAGCCTCGGGCTCGGAGCCCTTCCCTCCCACAGGGCAGCCCTTGTGGGGCGAGAAGCCCGGCCCCCACAGGGAGGCGGCCCCTCAGCAGGCTCGGGCTGTCCCCGGCCTGGGGTGGAGGCTCAGGGGCCCTGGCTGCGCTGGGAGCAAGCCGACCCAGGCAGGGCGCTGGCGCCCGCACTGCAGCCGCGACCGCGAGGACGTCAGTCCTGCCCTGAAAGATGGTGAGGGTGCCACCCAGCGTCAAGGACAGAAAAGAAACAGATTGTAGCAGTGGAGAGTAAAGGGCGCATGTGAGGTAAGCCGGTCTTAGGTACGCGATGCCCGCGGGCGTTGTAACCAAGGGGACAGCGCTGAGGTTTCCCGTGAGCTCTGTGGCAAGGCTCCGCTGCGTCCGGGCGAGGCGAGAGTTTCCTCATTTCACAAGCGGTCATCCCTGAGGCCGAAGCAGAGGTCTGTCAGCAGGGCTGGCTGTCCCCTCCTCCAGAGGCCACACCAACGGCACGGCAAGGCCTTGCCGGGGCCGTGGGGTCCAGGCAGGTGGCCCTACCCGGGAGCCCCATCTGGGCCACGCCACGTGCGGCAAGAGGAAAGATCCAGCATGTCCGGGGGGTGAAAGGCTTGCCCAAGGCTTCGCCCGCCCCGCGGGGCCAGAGCTGCTGGTCAGTGCGGAGAGGGGCCCCTGGGCAGGCGCACCTGGGGGCTTTCAGATGCACTGCTCCTCGTCCCTGTCATTCAGGAGCAGGGACCACTTGTCCCCGCCGTCCTCGGCCGGGGGGCTGTGCCGAGACGGCTGGTCGGACTTCAGGGAGGACAGAGACACCTGGCTGACGTAGCTGACCTGGTCGTGGGGCGGGGCCCTGGGGGAATCCCACCGCCGGTCGTCCATGCCCACGTGCACGCTGACCTGGGACGCGGTGAGGGGCCGCACACGGCCCCGGGCCTGGGCCTCGTACCTCTCCAGGTCAGGCTTCTTATACCTGCAAAGCGAGAACCCAGGAGCATGTGAGCTGCTCTGGACACAGGCTTTCACAGCCCGATAAAGGCCCCTCACCCGCCTTTCAATGACGTGCAGCATCAAGCCCCTGGGGCCAGGGGAACATCGCCCCATTTAGACAGACACACAGACGGACACTCCCTGTCCAGGTGCCCGGCACCTGGGAGGCCTTTTATTACATGAAAGCATCAGCAACCACGCGTCCATTGTAAGAAAGGGAAACTGTCAACACACAGGGATCCCACGTCTGCACACACACAGTCGCAAGCCACACAGCAGCGCTTCGGTCCACCACGGACCCACATCTGTGACGGAGGCCCGCGACACTATGATGGAGCTGCAAAATCCCTGTCACCTAGAGATGTCGTAGCCCCTGTGATGTTGCACCACAACGCGCGACTCCCGCATGTGTGCTGCAGCTGCTGTGAACAAGCCTGCCGCGCGGCCAGCCGCACACAAGTACAGCGCCGACAATGACGCACAGTGTGTGACACGCTATCATGGTAACAGATGGCCACGTGAACCATTTACATATATACACACTGTCCACTGTTCTTTTAGAGTGCACACTTTCTATTTGTTAAAAACGTGCTGTAAAGCACTGTGTGCGTGCCTTCCACGGTGGCTGCCTCTCCCGGCCGCGCCGCCCTCTCCGGTGCCCGAGTCACTCCAGTGTCACTCTGTGCGGTGGCTGCTGTACAGGCGGGTAACCTGGGAGCGCCGGGCGATGCTGCGGAGCCTGGCGTGCAGCCAGCTGACCACCCAGGTTTGGTGAGGGCCTCTGTGACGCTCCCAAATGGCCGCAGTTGCCCAAGGACACGTTTCTCAGAACGCGGCCCCTGTGGGTAGGCGGCGGGAGGCTGGATTTACATAAGCAGCCCTTGAGTGGAGTAACTAGACGGGCCCAGCACGTGATGGCTGGTTGGTGACAGATGCTGTGCTCCTGGCGCTAAGAAATCTTCGTACAAATACGCGCTCGGCTCCACTCAGTCCCTTTGGTGCCCGCCTGAGGCGAATGGGTCAGACCTGTCACGCCTGCCGCCAGCCAACACCAGCTCCGAGCCCGCGGCGCGAAGGGGCCCCGCCAATATGGCCTCGCTCCCGCCGCGTGGGGACTCACCACTTGAGCTGCAGCGACGACAGAACCACAGACACGGAGGACGCCGCCATGGCCGCCGAGCCCATCCACGGCTGCAGCACGACGCCGAGGGGCATGAAGACGCCTGCCGAGGGGGACGCGACCCTCACCCTGCGGCCCGAGCGGAGCGCAGGGAGAGGGCCCACCGCGGAGGTCTCGGCAAGGGCCCGGGCCCTGCTGCCCCGCGCCAACGCCCCCGGGCGGGCTGTCTCAGGGCTGGGCAGTGGGGGGGCGCTGTCGAGGGGCTGGGGTCTCCCACCCGCCTGGACCTTCCTGGGCCGTCCACAGGCGCCATCACCATTTTAAAGGAACACCCCAGGGGGCAGGAGCTTGCAAGGACCAGAGCCAGCCGCCGGTGGGGGTGGGGGGAATGGCGGCCCTGGGGCACTGCGGGGACTGTGTGCCCGGCTTGTCTCCGCTCTGCGCTGCAGAGCGCCTTTCTCAAGGGCACTGAGAGCCAGGCTTCTGGTCAGGGCCGGCCGGGCGCAGGAGGCTCAGGCGGACGCGCCACCGCGTGTGAGGCTCCGCGACCCACGCTGGCGCAAAGGGGGACCAGGCGTGGGAGTGTCGCGTTTAAAAACTTCAGGCCTCAGCCCCTGCGGGAGCGCCTCCTTGTGGAAGTGTCTGGAACGCTTCCCTAGCTGGCAACACAACAGTCAACGGGGACGGGAGCAGCCGTTAGGCGGAAAAATTCCAGCTCTGCCCATGACCGTTCCTGTGAGACCGACAACCTTGGGCAGAAGAATGTTGAGGGCAAGGTCCGAACACCTGAACCACGGCGCGTCGCATGCAGCAAGTGCCCCACACTGTTCATTGTGATTGTTTTTCAAACCATATGTGTAACAAATGGGTCAGAAAACAAATGGTTCAGAAACAGCAACCAGTCAAGCGCCTTGGGCAGCTTTTCAGGGGGCACCGGAGTGAATGCAGGTTTGCGTGGTCACCGCAGTTTCTCATTTACCTTTAGAGACTTGGCAAGCAGAGAACATAATGAAATCAACTCTTTCTAAACTGCCCGGGCCGCCCAGCCGGCCAGGAGGGCTGCTCACGAAGTGCGGCGGGCACCGCAGGCAGAGAGCTGGAGTCCAAGGCACGGAGTGGACTGGGAGCCCCCTTACCTGCCGCGATGGGGACCCCGACCAGGTTATAGATCAGCGCCAGCACCAGGTTGAGCCGAATCCGCCAGACGGTCCTCTTGGAGAGGCGAATGCCAGCCACCACGTCGAGCAGGTCGTTCTGCAGGAGAGGGACACCCGCTGAGTCCAGGGCTGTGCCCTGCGGCCCTCAGCGCGCGCGGGGGAGGGGCAGCGCAGCGAGCGGGCTCACTCGGATGAGAACGACGTCGGCCGCCTCGAGGGCGACGTCCGTGCCTGCCCCGATGGCGATGCCCACGTCGGCCTGGACCAAGGCGGGGGCATCGTTGACCCCATCCCCCACCATGGCCACCTTCTTCCCTGCCTTCTGCAGCTCCTGGATCTTGGCCACCTTGTGGGAAGGCAGCACCTCTGCGAAGACTTTGTTGATGCCAACCTGAAAGGACAGGGGGACAGCAGTCCAAAAATAAATACAGGACAACAGCCAGCGTTGGCAAAGGACAGGAACAGTAGAGCACCCGAGAGTCATCCCGCCCCCGCCCCTCAAGGTCCAGGTAATGACTCCAGTCACTAAGCCCTCCAGGCTCCAGCTCACGGGACCAGTTCACCCCTGACCCCATGGCAAGGCCAGTGCTTTGGGGCCCTCACGGGCCTCCCTGCCCACACCCCTGCCTCCAACTCCCTTCTCCATATGCCGCCCAGTGTGTCCAAAACAACCACCCTTTGGTCATTTACTCTCCTGCTCCAAGTCCTCCAAGGACCCCAGTGTCCTCAGGACAACAGCTCAGCTCCTTGGCCTGCTCCCCAGGCCCCCTTAGGTCTCCACTGTCTCCAGCGCCTCCAGGTCCCCGCGGGCGCACCCTGCGCCGCGCGCTCCCTGCACCCTCCAGCCAACGGCAACTCCTCTCGCCTGCTCTGTCCTGCAAAGGTCGGCTTGCGCTCCCCAGCCTGCCCCTCTTCCCCGTCGGACCATGCCTGACTCGGGCGGCCCCTCCCCAGGGAAGGCACCTGGCCTGTGCCCAGCGGCTCCCACGTGCACTCCTCTGTTGAAGCACCAAGCGCTCGTTTGTAACTGGTCACTGGTTTGCCCTCCTCCTGGGACTGCGAGCCCCTTCAGGGCAGGCGCCCTCCTCACATCCCTCTGAAGTCTGCCCGCGTGTGGGCCGCGCTTCGCAAGTGCTTGCTGAGTGGGCGAACGGGCTTTCACCAAAAGGGGAGTGGCTCAGCGAGTCCATCGTTAGCAAGGAGCGCCCCAGAGACAGGTACTGCTGCTTCCCTCGCCAGGAGCAACCGTCCCCAAAAGCGTGCATGGCGACGCACGTTTGGGGGAGGCGGGGTGCCTACGCTTTCTGGGAACGTGCACGGGAACCCCCCGCAGGCTGGGCCGGGCTGCCCGGTCCGCCGTGTGTCTGGCACACACAGCCGGGAGGCGATGAGCTGGCAAGCCATTCCTTCGACCTAAGGGCTCCAGAGCTGTTTGTTTACGCCAGTCCTGAAGCCATGGGGGATTTGCTTGTTTGTTTGTTCGTCCTTTGGGAAGACTGGGAAATGGAGAAAGATGGAACTGCTGCTCCGGGCTGCAGCCCTGTGACCTCGCTGTGGCCCCGGTGGCCCCGGGGCGGGGGTTGATGGGGGCAGGGGGGCAGCTAGCCAGGGGAGCTGCACGGGGCAGAGCTGAGGGCTGACGCACCCTTTGCTTCCTTTTCTTCTCCACCTGCCCTACGAGCTCAACACCTCCGCTGCGTGGAGGAGGGAGGAGGGCCCGGCCGTACCTGGGTGGCGATGGCTCTGGCGGTCTTGCGGTTGTCCCCGGTGATGAGGGCCACGTCCACACCCATGCTCTTCAGCGTGTGCACAGCCAGGGCGGCCTCTGGCTTGGCGTCGTCCGCGATGGCGATCATCCCGCAGAGCAGCCCTGCGGGGACAGCGCGGTGAGGGCCCGCGGGGCCGGCCCGCTGCATGCAGGGAACGGCCTCCGTCCTGTCACGCCACACGCAAAACCCAAAACACCCAGTCACAGAACGCGATGCGGTTTGATTCTGGCTTTTAGAATCCACACACATTGACAGATGCACCCGGAGTCTGGAAGGACTGTCACACGGTCAACCGTGGCTCTCTGAGGGGTAGGGTGACAACTGACTCCGTTTTCCTCTTTCTAGCTCTCAGAATTTCCCACATGTTCTGCAAGGCACCTCTATGTGCAGAGTATCTGGCCCATTAACTCAATACATGTTCGCTATTAAAATACAGCAAATACACCAAATGCTACTTAGAACTCAATGAATGTCCCAACAGCGAGAAAATAAACTTTTTTTTTTCTCTTATGACAAAACACACTTGTATAGAATTTCCCCCCCCGAGCGAATCTTTTAGATGCTGAGCAGGCGTGGTGGGAGCAGAGTGAGGGGCTGAGACGCCGGGGCCCGACCCCTTCCGTGGGGCCGACGCTGGGCCCCTGGGCCGAGGGCACTACGGGCTCACGAGGGCTTAGGAGGTGGCGTGGCGGGGGGAGGAGGGGAAAAAGAAGGGAACGGGAAAGACGACGTGCCTGGCTGAAGCAGTCAGAGGACAGCAACATAAATCATGTCTTATTTGCAATAGTTTTACGAACACTAGCAGAAACTACTATCAACAGAGTAAGACTGTAATCTCTCTAAGACCTACAGCCCAAGACAGAACTGGGAACTGAGCCTCCGCTCAGTCTGGGAGGCCGGGAGGGAAGCTGCGGGATCTTGCTGCGTGAAGGCACGCTGCAGTCAGGCTCCCGGAGCATGAGCTCTGTGGCCCGCCCACGGCCGGCCTGGCCGGGAGACTTCTAGGGGCCAGGAGCCGGTGCCTGTGCCGAGTGGGCTGGGGCGGGGAAGGGGGGAGGGCACAGGAAGGGCCCCAGACCGAAAGAAGAGGAAGAGGAAGGGGAAGGGGAAGGGGAAGAGGAAGGCAAGGCCTCTTTTCCAATGCAGAACTAAAATCAATAGGGAGGAAGATCTGTTTGTTTGTTTTTTTTTTAAAAAGGGCAGAGTTTATTTTTGCCTGCCACCTCTAAGGCACTTCATTGCCGCAGGCGCAGAAGGAAGACGCAAGCGCAGCGATACCGTCAATGGCCACCAGGATGGCTGTGTGGCCCTTGTTCTCGTGGTCTGTCATCGAGTCACTGACGTCGCGGGAGATGGCTAAGCCGTTGCGCCTCATCCATTCTCGGTTTCCAATCAGCACAGAGAAGGTCTGGGGGGCTCTGTCTGTTCAAAGGAGTTTGTGGTGAGCCCCGCAGAGCACAAGTTCACTGAGAGCGCACTGCACACGACAGAGCCCTTTTAACAGCCAAGAGCCCTGACCTGTGTTCTGAGAAACTCGAACCTAGGAAGCGCCTCCCAACCCCACCCTTCGAGGACCACACGTACAACACACAAGTAGGAATTAGAACGAGCATTAAAAGGCACATAAAAGGCACAGACTCCACGTGTGCAAATGGTGGAAACACATCAGATGTCATGTGGTGTCCTTGTTTGCCTCTAGGGGGGTCTGATGCTTCCTTTTCAGGTGGTCATTTTATTTCTCCAGCACCAAATCCAAGTGCCGACAAGACCCATCACTGCTTGCTACAGACGACCCAACATGAACCAGCCACTCATCTGTCTACTTCTGTGAAACCTTTCAGAGCTGTGTGTCCTAACAGCGCGCGCAAGTCTTGGGCCTGTCACCTTCTACGTGTGCCAGTTACCTAGGCATCACTGCACGGATCAGTCCTTAGACGCAAACTGAAAGGTCAGGCTAGGGCTTTACTTTGCTAGAAAGTGGTACATGGCTTCTAACAGTAAAGTCTACAGCAAGATTCAACTACGAACATCCTTAAGAGAAAACACTAGGCGGTTTTTTTTGTCTGTCTTGTTTGGAGGGGGTATATTTCCACACTCTTACGCTGATGGCCACCAAGCTGCTGATGGCCACCAAGCTATCCTTAGAATGAGAAAGGCCATCATTCGAAAGCAGCAGTCACTCCAGGCAGTGCCCATTCCCGTAGGGACAGCCCATTCCCGTCGGCTCCCCTAACTGCTGCCAGCTGTGGAAATACACCTTCCCATCAGAGTTCTACCATGTGGGAGGTCCCCCGCCTAGGAAGGACGAAGTCGAATCCCCACGTGTCTACCTGGTGTCTTACGAGCATTAAGCCTAACTCGGGATGAGAAAGAGGAGACTCAAATTATGAGCGATACTCGATAGATTTACGTAATGGACTACTTTTCTCTGCCATTGGTTAGCATCCAGATTCAGACGCAACAAAGAACACAAGAGAAGCTGCCTGATCTCCTGGGGAGGGAGGCGTGCGGTGCACCTGCCATGAGCTGCCTTTCTGCACAGAAGGGGAAGCAGGTGGCGTGCCTGGCACGGTGCTCTCTGTGGTTTGGCACGCTGCCACCCGACCCGGCCCGGCCCCGATCCCTGGCAGGCTGAGCGGCAGAGACAAAAGCCAGGGATACCTGTTTCCGCAGAGACACTGCCAACCCCGTTCGGGTGAGAGGCCTGTTGGTCCGGGCGCTCGCTGTGGGCCAGGATGCCTTCCACGTTGCTGACTTTGCAGCCAATGCCGCAGCCGGGCACGGCCTGGAAGTCCATGCAGTGCCCCAGAGTCTCTGTTCTGAGTTCCTGTGAAGGACGGGGCAGGGAGAGGGGCCAGAAAACAGGGGGAGTAGAGGGGAGAGGGTGACAGGACAGAGACCCACAACGGGGGTGTCCCCGACCCACGGCCAAGGCCTCTTCGCTGGCAGCTGGGAGGCAAAGCCTGCGAGGCGGAAGGAGCTGTGGGCAGGGGCGCAGGGACAAGCTACGCCCGGGTCTACGTACCTCTTTACAGTATTTGGTGACAGCCACACCCAAGGGGTGCTCGCTGCTGGCCTCTGCCGTCCCCACCACGGCAAGAAGCTTCCGGAGCGGCAGCGTGGCCACGTCCACGAGCAGGAGGACCCGCGTGACTCTGGGGACCCCGTGGGTGATGGTGCCGGTTTTGTCAAACATCACTGTCTTTATCTGCCAGGAAAGCACATGTCAGTGCCGCAAACACAGGAGAAGGGGCTTTAGGGCACACACAGCCTGGTGGCAGAACTTCACTCTGACGCCCTCGAGCAGGCAGCCCTCCTCCATACTTTGGGACACGGTCGAGGGCAATCAACGCCAAGTTTCAACCAGGTCCCCTCCCTGCCCGGTCAAAACACCCACATTGTGGCTTAACCTTAATCAGGCAGAGCCAGAAACTCCCACAGATGTACCAACAGGGACACACGCCACCATCCCCTGGACGGAAACCCCAGTAGTTTCTCCTCGAGTCAGGACAGGAGCCAGGGCTCTGGGGTCGGCCTGTCTCCCCGCCTCCTTCTGCCTGTGGGGTCAACCGTGGCTTTCTCTGGCCTGCGTACGGGCAGAAGCCTGCGGAGACTGAAGCTCTCGCAGGCCAAGTTCACGGAAGGGAGTGTTCCTTGGCCTTGGTCACGGGTAAGACTGCAGCCAGACTTTAGACCTATCCCACTCGGTCAATGGCAGCTGTGCAGCGGTCCCCGTGGACGGGCTCAGCCAGTCAGCAGCAGCCACACTGGGACCTGCGTCCTTACAGCCAGAGTCTGCCCACCCCTGGGCTCAGACCACCCCACGTAGGGCCGTCTGCTCACTGTGTGTGACCCTCCGCACAGGCTGCCTTAATCAGTGAATAACAGATTCCACTTTGTGCTCTTGCTGCCGAGCGCTGGCCTCTTGGGACACTAGCGCCCGGTCTTCCCCCAACCGTTCTTGCCTCCTGTTAGTCCACCCATGTCTGCAGCCAGGTCATCCCAACAAGCAGTCCGGCCCCATCACACGGACGGCCCCCTGCGCGGCCCCCTGTCGTTCTTCGGGTTAGATTCCCAGTCCTTTAATAAACCTCTCAAGCCCTTCAAGGCCCCAGCTCCCTCTTCTCCCCTCCATAGCCTGACCTCCTATCAGTTTCTCTCAATGATTTTCTTTCAGGGCCTCGTTTATTATTCAGCAAATAACTGTTGAGTGCATTTAACATGCCAGGCACTGGCAAGGTGCCGGGGACACACAGTGGGAAAAGTTCGTGATCCCTAACTTACTGTGTCTACCACACGCAGTCCAGTGCCCCCGCCCGCCCCCTGGCCCCCAGATCCCTTCCGGGGGCTGTCCGTGCTGCCAGAACCTTCCTCCCCACTTCCGCTTCCAGGCTAACTCTTGCTCAGCTGTTAGGTCTCGCGTTCGCCTGTGTGTTTCCTTCCCGGGCCGCCTGCTCTCCACCCCTCGTGCCCAAGGCAGCACAGCGGTATCTAAGGCAGGCCCCTGCCAAGCGGACCTCCCAGCACCGCGCCCTGCCGTCTGCTTACTGTGCACCTGCCCTTCCGCGTCTGGGATGCCGTCAGGGCCCATGGCCAGGGCCGAGCACCGGGCCCGCACAGAGCAAAGGCCCAGCTACCACTGAATACATCGACTGGAAGGCCAAGGGTTGGTACGTGTGGCCAAAAGAAGGCTCCCATGTGCTGCTGCCCCTGACTGAACTCCCCACGGTCACAGGGTCCCCCGATCTGGTGTTGCTCAGGGGGAGTGAGTCCTGGCTCCGCCTCTCACGGTGCAGGCCTCTGGGCCAGCTGCCTCGTCTCCTCCCGCTGTGCTTCCCTCACCTGGAAAAGGGGCACCCCGAGCGCCCCCTAGACCTGTCGACCAGATTAAGTCAACTGCCACTTACAAAAAGCTAACTCTGCCAGGTTAGCGGCCGCGGCAGCTCCCGCCCACCAGCCCCGGCTCCCCGGTTCACTCAGCGAACCGCGCGGGCCAGCCTCAGCCTCTCTCAGCCGTCTCTGTGCTTGTGAATTTACACAGGTACTATTTCCACCCGTCCTCCAAGTTTAAAAAAATCACGCAGGAAACAGCTGCGGAATGAGCCCAGTCACACCCCGGCCGGTCGGCCAGAGCCCCGGGGCGGGGCCCACCTTGTAGGCGGTCTCCAGCGGCTTGCCGCCCTTGATGAGGATGCCATTCTGCGCGGCCACGCCCGTGCCCACCATGACCGCCGTGGGCGTGGCCAGGCCCAGCGCGCAGGGGCAAGCAATGCACAGCACCGTGATCGATGTCTGGAAGGCGAACCGGATGACCCTCTCCGCCCGGGACGTGTGCCTGGTGGGGGTCTGGGGAGGGGAGAGAGGCAGGTGGGGAGTGAAATGCGAAACCACACGGAGGCCTAATCGCTGCTGTTTTCTTTGTAAATCCCCCCAAAACAAAGTATGGGCCTCCTTTCCAAACATGGTGGGACATACTGGTATTATTATTTGCATTCTGACATCGAGTCATCCTGGTTTATTTTAAAAAATGGCTAGTATCTCTGGAGTATAATCAGGTAATACTGTATTCACTTAATTACAATAAAAAACATGTTTTCTCAATCAAGAACACAGACCTCAACCTCATAAGCTTCCAACTACCCTTCATTCCCTGACTGTGAAGGTAATCAGGTAATACTGTATTCACTTAATTACAATAAAAAAACATGTTTTCTCAATCAAGAACACAGACCTCAACCTCATAAGCTTCCAACTACCCTTCATTCCCTGACTGTGAAGGGCAGGATTCTAACATAAGACATATTATTAAAGGGATTTAATTGTCATAGAAATAGTTGGACTGAAGTGGACAAGCATGTTGTCCTAAGACACAATGCAATTCTTAGAGGTAAAAACGATGTCTTAAAAAAAAACAAAACCCAAAATGGTCATTCTTATCAAAATAACACCTGGCGTTCTGAAGGGCCTGGGTGGACTTCTAGAAGTGGACGTGAGTCCTGTCCCCACAATGACTTTTATGGAGCAGGGTGATAACAATATCTTAAAGGAACATGCAGTACCTCATTTGCCAGCATCCTCCCTGATAATGCAGATAAAACAAAAGAAGCCAAAGTAAGACAGAAAGGCAGGGATCAGCAGGAAGCCACACGTCCCCACCGCCACAGGCCCGCGGGCAGGCAAGCGAGCGGCGATCCCGCAGAGGAGAAGCCTGGGCAGCCGGGGGCAAAGTGCAGAGCCGCCGTCAGGGGCTACCCTTAGAAGCACTGAGGTCTCCGCAGGCGCCAGCAAGTGCAGAGCTCAGCGTTTTTCATTTAACGGGTGGGGAATTTGAGGGAGAAAAATGACATCTCAGTGAATGACATGCACTCCAAGAATAGAATATATGCCTTTTAAGATGACAAAATGTTTTTTAAGACACAGTATCCATTCCATAGTTGCAGTTTCTTATTCTGTGGCTCTCGGGTGAAATACACATTACACTGGGCTCAATATGAGATATTCTTAAAAATAAGGTAAACACTGTTTTCCTCATTGGGCAGTTACCAGCTCTCCTCTCGTGGGCTCTAGCTTTGCGTGCGTATCAAGGTCTCTCAGCCCCGGCACGGCTGGTATTTGGGGCCAGGTCATGCTTTGCTGTGGGGTCTGTCCTGCGCACTGCGGAGCATTAGCAGCAGCCCTGGCCTGCTCCCCCAGATGCGGGTGCGTCCCTGCCTCGTCGTGACAACAGAAATGTCTCCAGATGTGGCAAATGCCTCTGGGGCGACAAAAGTCACTCCCCATGGGGAGTCACTGATTTGTATGGATTTCTGAAGCAGAAATTTTTTTTTTTTATTTTCCACCTCTTTATAAGTTGATAAAACTACATTTCTTAAGATAGAATTCTTCATTTTTTAAACTCAAAAAAGATTCCATTGCCTCATGTATAACATGTAATAAATAAATATTCACTAAAAACCTGTTAGCATTTGCTTGGGAAGCTGCAAGGTTAAAGATGATACTTATGGACACAGACAGCAAAAAATACAAAATTCGTTAAATAATATTATCGTGCCATTAAAACCTGAAGGGACCTATCTTCCGTGGTGTGTGCTTCGTAACTCCCAAAATGGACAATACCGCACACTGTAAATGCTTTAAGTATTGCAACTGAGAGCCGAGTTTGTGAAATTATCTAATGGGGACGCAAAGGCCATCTTTACTAAAAACCCGCAGAAGAAGTAAAGTGACTGGCTGTCCCACCCTGGCTACGAAATTTGCTGCCAATAAAGTAAAGCAAGCACATAAAATGCAACGAGTAATTAAAACCCAACGAGTCAAAGACATGAAGGAACAGAACTAACGGCAAAGGATCATCTACAACCCAACCACCACACAGCCCACAGTGTTCAACTTACAGGAAAGTATTTCTGAACAACACCGAAATCGATAAAACCGACTACAATCCATACCACCAACGTCAAAGTTGAAATGATGATGATAAATGGGACAAAATAGCCACTGAACCGGTCAGCCAGTTCCTGGATGGGGGCCTATGAAGAGAAAACACCAAGGCCGTGGTCAGTGACAACGTGCACGGAGGCTGAGCACCGAGGAACAGGCAAGGCCTGGGGTTCGCAGCTCCCTCGTTGGCTCTCCGCTCGGCCTCCACCTGATTCTGCTCTTCGGGTGATGTCTCAAATGGCAGAGCAGAGATGATACTGGTTTTTAAATTTTTTCTTTACCTTTGACATCTGAGCCTCTTCCACCAGCTTCACAATCTGAGCCAAGGTGGTGTTGTCGCCCACGTGGGTGGCGCTGATGAGCACAGAGCCGTGCGCGTTTATGGAGCCTGCGATCACCATGCTCCCGGGCTTCTTGGTGACAGGCATGGCTTCTCCTAGGGGAGGAGGCGGGAGGCTGCCATCGCGCCGAGCCCCAGCCAGCATCCAGGGGACCTGGCGACGGCACTGACACCCAACCGAAGGGGATGCGAAACAAGCCGCCCACCTGTGATAAGGGACTCGTCAGCCATGGTGTTGCCTTCCAGGACTTTCCCGTCCACTGGGAACTTGCCCCCTGGAACGACCTTGATGACGTCGCCCCGCTGCACCAGCTCCACAGGCACCTGCTCCTCTCTGCAACAGATGCCGCTCAGGTGGCACGCGTGGCCTCTCGCCGGAGCTGGCCCTCGGGGCCCGTTGCCCCGGCCGGGCCCTGGAAGGACGGACCGACTGGCCACACACACTTGCCTCACACCAAGCAGCAGTACCCACGAAATCTGTCAGTCACAGCTACCTAGTGTGCCACTGCTGAGTGCCAGGCCCGGTACGTGGCACTGAGACTGCAGCTGCGACCGGGACAGCAAGGTCCTTACCCTCCTCAGGACAGATTGTGGGGAGCAAACAGACAGCAAACACAATAGTTCCAGGTCGTAAAGAAGCGCTATGATGAAAGTATGCCTGGAGGGCTTCTTCAGGGGTGGGTGGGGCGGGGTGGGGGGAAACCCGGGAAGGCCTCCTGTGGACCGTGGCATCTGAGCCGAGACCTGGATGACAAGAGGGGCCAAAATACAGGGGAAAGGAGAGCCAGAGCCCCTCAGGCAGGCCGGCAGGCAGGGAGCCTTGGGAAGGGGGGAAGCCGCCAGCACTGCCGCAGGGAGGCTTGTGCGGCAGGCCCGGTGCGGTCCCACTGGGTCCGGCAGGGCGGAGCCGTGCGCCCGAGTCGAAGGTCTGCAGTGGGAAGATGGCACAATCTGATTCACGGCTTCAAGTCGTCTCTCTGGCCGCTGCAGGCGAATGGGCTGCAGGGGCGGTCACACGCGGAGGGGTCAGGCTGCCGCAGCCGCCCGAGCAACAGACGCCAACGGCGTGGGCTGGAGGTAGAGCGAAGGACCGCCCAGGGTGCGTTCAGGGCCTGCACCAGGTGCAGTACCAGATGCACGGAACACAGGAGCGCAGCAAGGCTGAGCTCTCAATTTCAGCGTGAGCCACTGGGTGGATGAGGAATCATTTAACGAGATGGAAACACCCACGGAGAAGCAGCCGAGGTCAGGAGAGGGAAGGGGGATGAAAGGGAGCCCCTCGTTTTAACTGTCGGGTCTGAGATGTCTGTTTGACTTGATGTTACATCGAAGTTGAAAGTATGATTGGAGCTGAGGGAAGAGACCAGAGCTTGACATACAGGTCTGAGAGCAAACAAAATAGAAATGCGTTTCAGACAATGCAATGGTGTGGGTCTACTAGGAGAGAAATGGGAAAAGAGAAGGGGTCCTGGAACGAAGCCCTGGGACACGCCATCTGGAGGTTAAGCAGGAGTGGGAGGGGCAGGCGGGGGGCGGGGGGGACGTTGGCCGGTGCCTCGGAGGAAGCGAAGCGCGGAGAGGGCCTGCTGGAGCACACCCCCGGCCCTCGCGGCTGACGCTGCAGACGCACTCACACAGACGCTAACGTGGGAAACTCCCCGGCCCTGTACTTAGAACTAATTTGTATACTCTGGTGAGTGTGAGTTATATATTAATAAAAGAGAAAAAGTTTTAAGGGACATGAAGGTATTTAAATGCCTGGTGTATGCAACTGGATTGAAGGAGGGACCTCACTGTACGTTTCTTTGCCCACCTTCACGAGGTCTCAGGTAATGTCACGTACACGATGGGTGTTTGATGTGATACACAGAGTGACATAAACTGATCAAGGACTTTGGATGAAGGTAACCCACCTGATGATTAAGTTGTCCTTGCCAAGGGTCACCACGGTGGCTTCTGTGGCTTGGAGAGACATGAGTTTCGCAAGGGCTTCCGAGGTTTTGCTCTGAGAAATAACCAGAATGTACAACAGGAACTACTGCAAATTGATCCGTGCAGGAAAAGGCTGCCCCCAACACCAAGGGGCTCCCCCACACAGTGTGGCCCACGGCCCATCGACGCGGTCATGGCACCGTCACAGGGAACGCACAGACGCCAGCCACCTAGCTCAATGAACTACATTTCCGGCTGGAAAAAAAAAACAAAAACCAATCTACCCACGGACAGCTTTCTTTTAGGTTCCATTCCTTTCAGAGCCTTGCTCATTCACAAGGTAAGTTTTAACGTTGAGCTCAGTTCAGGGTATTATAAGTGGCATGACCCGAAGGGGCAGATGTGGATTTCTAGGCTAAGACGCCATGCACTCTGTAGGTACTAAGCGACGGTATGACCTCGGACCTGAAATCCAGGGTTCTTGCCAAGACCCGATGCACCTGAACAAAAGTTTTACTAATTTACCAGATTAGCTGGGATTTCAGAAGTAGCGACCAATTTGGAGCTTAGTGATCGAAGCACCTAATTACAGGTAGGTTTCACATTTCTTTAAGTCTTCCTCTAGATTGAGTGTAATTAGTAAGTCTAAACGGAGTTCAGGTGAACGAACAGCTCCTTTGGCCCGAAGCCGCAGTTACCTTGGCAATGTGTTCCAGCCACCTCCCCAGGGCCACGAAGAGGAATAGCATGGGGGGCGTGTCAAAGAATGTCACAGGGCTCCTCTCGGCCTCCTCGACCAGGGCCACCACCAGGATGACCAGCGAGTAGGTGTAGGCGACGCTCGTGCCCAGCACGATGAGCACGTCCATGTTGGCCGTCCTGTGTCTCAGCGACCTGTAGGCCTGGACGTAGAAGTACCACCCGCCGAGAAGCTGAAAGGCAGGTGACTGCCGTCAGAGCTGGGACAAGCAGAGCACGATGTTCAGGGAGCCAGCGGGGGCCCAGAGGTCCCAGGGCTGGCGAGTACCCTGGGCTCACCCCCAATTTTGACATTATTTTTTCCCCTGCAGTCAATGTTTTTGAAGTGTATTTCCTGATTCAGGATCCTAGGGGCCATAGGAACGGGTCATCAAGGGCGCGGGAAACCTTTAGAACTCTGAGTACACCAGCTATGCGTCCCTCGATAGAAGAATGGTGGCAATGGTGACCTACATCATGCTTCATGCATGCTGTGGCCAGGGCTCTGCGGTCCCTAAGGAGAATGCGCTGGATCTACGAACTCCTGGAGTGAAAGATGCCCATACAACACACTGAAGGGGAGAAGCCAGTTACAAATCAGGGCCTCTAACGGGCTGCGGCTGCCTTATGTGAACCTGCTGACACATGTACATTCGTTCACATGTAATTATTATTTATACAGATGAAAGACACACCCCCAACGAGTAATGATGGGGTGACCCTGGGGAATGCACTGAGCTGGAGGCAGGGCGTCAAGCCAACGAGTAGTGTCCCCGTTTCTATTTCAGTATGGCTTGGACTGTTTACAATAACTGTATGCTATATTTAGAATTAAAAAGAAAATACAGGAAAAAAAAAATGTGGCCTACAAAGACTTGTTCCTAGATAGTCCTACACATTTTAATATTAAGTCAGGAGTTTTATTTTATATTCCAAAATATACAGAGGCCACACTTCCCCACAGAAACACAGCTGGTTCCTTAATATTGCCCCAGACCGGAGGTCCCATGAGGCCTCTCTCTTTTGAATTATAATTTCCTCAGGACCCCATTTTTGCCACTCAAGATAAGACGTTAAAGAGAAGCATGAGCTCCATGGTGTTCCAACTGCTGCTTCTAAAAACAAAGGTAAGTTAAACAAAAAGGAAGCCGAAGACAACTGGCCACCAACCCTTGCAACGAGGTGGCTGCTATGCCAGGGAGACGTCAACCACCTGCAACCAACAGTGACACTGATTGTGAAACCAGGTCTTTTACGTCCTCTGAGTTAAGAGGTCACCCCGCCGGTGGTCACAGGACAGAAAAAGGCTACGACCGGCTGGGGTGGGGCAGGAGAGCGGCAACGAAGCGCTGGTCACGCCCGGGCATGAAAGGCAGAGGTCTGACCTCCTTCTGATACGCACCTGGACAAAGGTACACAAGATAAAGAAGATGAGATTTAGAACGGACAATCCAGGAATGATGTTGTGGTGCAGGACCATAGACTCGTGGGGTTTGCTGCTGGATATCAACATGTAGATCATTAAACCCATGACAGGGATGCCAAACACCAGGCTGCACAGGAAAGAATTCCTCCACCTGGAAAGCAATGAGCAACACCGACAGGTTATGTACCACCAGCTGCTGGGATTCCGGCCGGGCCCCTCCTGGGGACTCGGCTGAAGACTTGCCTTTGTCCCGTGTGTGAGAGAGATGGCCACAGGCTATAATGAAAGGCAGGCTCTCTCCCTGACACGGGCCACCTGAGGGAGCATTTAAAGGTCTACACGTCTCTCTAAGGACATTCCTGGGATGTCCAGAACCAGCCTGTGCCTGCCGCTGACTGATGTGTTACCTTCAGCCTACAGGGGTGGCGATCTGGTTTCAAAACGCCACCTTCTACCAGCTCCCCCGAAAAAGTAGATCAAAGCAATCTTTGATTAGTATTAACTTAGTTCTATGCTTGCTTTTTAAACTACACTTCAAATGGAGTCGGAGAGAACAGGGAAGCTGCCCTGCTGAACACCAGAGGTGGACGCGGTTGGGGGTGGAGGGCGGGAGGTGGTGGTCATCAAGTGACCGCCGCGGCCTCACGCTGGCTTCAGCATCCGTGAAATGCTAACCAAGGGGCCGTGGAAACTGATGCGCCTTCCCCGCGGTCTGAAAACCACGGCCTCCAGTGCGATTAGTCTCACGCCCTCCAGTGGCCACCCCGGGTCCCAAGAACGAGGCCCTCGCTGGCTTTTCAGACGCTTCTGCTGCCGCTCCCTCCGAGGCCGCAGGCGCACCGACCACAGCGAACCCCCTGGGAGTCCCCGGAGCCGCCTGTCACTGTGCCCTGGAAGGCCCTCGCTTCCACCCCACCCCCACGCCCTTGGCCCAGGACACTTCCGCTCGTTGCTTGAGGCCCAGATCACGTGTCCTCTCTTGTCAGCCTCCCACACTGGCCTCCCAGACCTCACCCGAGCCAGTGCCACCCACTCCTTCCCGGCAGGACTGTGGGCACCACAAAAGCAGGGACATTCTATTCACACCCTACACGTGGCACAGTGCCCTGCGTATCACAGCGGCCTTACGCTTACTGCACGGCCGTGTGAACATCTGAAATAACGAATGAACCCAGGCTTCCTGCTTCCCAGGCCATTTTCTTTCCACTCGGCCACGATCCTCGTCCTTGGATCCTAGTTCTAGAACCCATTCAAATAGAGTCTTAAAAGGCTGTACCAGGAAAAATCCACGCTCCCTTCCCTCCGGCTTCAGGGCTGTCCCATCTGCTGGCTACCCGCCGCAGGTGGCTATTTCAATTAAAATCAACGAAAATGAAGTGGAATTAAAGAGTCAGTTCCTCAGCCGCACTGGCTGCATTTCCAGTCCTCAGCAGCCACTGGCAGCCACACCTGGTGGTGCAGACGCCGAGCATTTCTGTCACAGCAGGCAGTTCTGTGGGCGGCACTGGAGGTTAACGTCACACAGGTAAAGGCGACCAGTCCGAGTGGATGGCACGGTGGGCGGCCGGGGAGGCAGGGACCCCGACAATGAGGCAGGGTCAGGCCCGGGGCGAAGCAGACAGGAGCTTCGGCCGACCCCTTCTGCCCGACCTACCTCCGTATTTCCGCCCTGTGGTCCAGGTGGTGGGCGCCGGGGATCCTCTGGGCCGGGGAAGCACGAAAGCCGAGCTCCTTGTTATTGGAAAGGGAGGGGCGGGGAGCAAGGGGGAAAGCGCTTCGTTAAAATGGGCACGGCCGCCTCTCTCTATTGCCCTCTCTTCCTTACTTGATCCGATCCCTGTGTAGAGTCACATCCTTTACAAATACACACGGAGAAAACTGCCAGCAAATGTCCTGTCAGCCAGCGCAACATAAAGAGGGGCCTCGGAATTCGGGTGCCGCGATTTTACACCAAAATTACAATTACGGCGGGAGAAAGGGCATCCAAGACCATCTACGGACACATCCTTCTACAACTAATACCGGCCTAATTATACTCGGAAAAGACGCCCCAGAATCACAAGAACGGAGGCGGGCCATTGGCAACATTCACGCGAGGACAGAGGGGGCCGCGCCTCACTCCGCGGGCTGGGCGGAGGCTCGCCCTGCCACTCGGGTGTCAGTCTGAGACTGCTTAGCCTCTTCCGGGCCGCATCCCCGGCCTGCAGGAACAGAAAGGCCGCCGGGCCTGGAGAGGGGGGAGAGGGGGGAGAGGGGTTTGAAAGCCAGCCCGGCGGCCTTAGCTGGGCCTCATGAGCAAAGCACTCAGCCCCCTGGGATCTCTCCTCATCTGGCAACGCAGCTGGCCGTCCGCCCCGAGGGCCAGGCGCTGGCCAGCAGTTGCGCATCAAACAGCTCTGCTAGGCCACGCAACGGACATCTCTCTCACGTATGCGCGCGCGCGCGCGCACACACATACACACACACACTCTGAAGAGAGAATTCAAGACGAGGTTAAATGTGCTGCAAGCTGTTTCATTTCCTAAGAAATTTCCTAAGTACACTCAACCTCATTCACTCATACCATTAGTCACCACCAGCTAACCTGGTTGGGTTCTGAGTGTCTTAACCCGTCCTGAACACTCTTCCTCGTACGGTGCGATAGCACGCAGACCTTAACGGGAAGCTGGACATCTGTGGGCGAACCGAGGGGGACCGGAGAGGTGGGGACCACATACATGAAAAGCTATTCTAACCGATTTTCCAAAGGCGAAATGACCAAACTGTTCCACTATAAAGCAGGCCTAGCAAAGTGGCAACATGCAGTATAATTCAACAACATTTCTTTGCTCTATAGCTATCTGGTACAGACACAAATCATACCTAAAAAGTATAGTTAGGCAATTTAACACATGAACTGTACCAGGTATCGTGGTGATATTGGTGTTTCTCAGGAATATCTAAAACAATAATGTCTCTGTGTCTCTTTTCCCCAATGTTTTCTTACCCATTGACTGATTTTTTCCCCCTTAAAGCATCTGTTATTCACTTAACTTCAGTTTATTTTAAAATGATTCCCTTTCTTTCCACTGGGAAAGTCAAACATTTTTTGGTGACTCTTTTTAAAGGCAGGTACAGTTTTTTAAATGACGGACTGACCTCAATAATTCTGACAATACGCCGCGGACCGATGATTTCAGGATCGAACTTCACGCGGGCTTTGTTGGTGGCCAGGGCCACGGAGGCGTGGGTGACGCCGCTCGTCCGCTTGAGTTTGGACTCGATGTTGTGAACACAGGAAGCGCAGGTCATGCCAGTGATCTGCAGCACGAGGCGACAGAGGTCCTGCTGACGTGGGATCGAGGGGCGCACAGGCTGCTGCAGCCCCCAGGGCCCGGGACCCCCAGCTCCCAACCCCGAGCCGTCCCCCAGGGGCTTCACGGAGAGAGCAGAGGATCTTCAGGGACAGGCAGGCGAGGGAGGAGCGGTGCACAGGCCGAGAGCTTACGTGCCGGCAGGGGGCTGGGCGATAGGATTTTTTAAGGTCTACGACCATTTCCACGGTGCCTGTGAGGTCTCCTCTGACTCTCATGGTAACGCTAGGACCACTCTTCACACACCTGCACCTCGCCAGGCACTACCCTGCTCCCACCAACCCTGCAGAGCAGGCCTCAGAGACCCCGGCCCCGAGAGGTCTGGGACTTGTCCGAAGTCGCACCCCGGTGAGCAGCAGGGCTGGGCTCTGGGTCCGTGCTCGGGACTGCGGCAGCGGTGTCGCGAGGCGGCCGCTGACGACCCGGTTAGGACACACCCCTGCAGCGCCCGAGCCTGAAGCCACGCCCAGTGGGAGCCCTGCCACTCTGTCACACCGTGCTGTGTGTCCTGACCCGAGAAACAGGGTGGGACACTTATCCTGTAAAATGCATCAGCAAACCAGATAACCCACCCTTCCAAGCATCAGCGGTCAGCGTTTCCCAGATACCGCTGAACACAGACATCCAGTGTCTGAACATGTGATGATGTAACTACTGATACTGCTTAGTTTAAAAATACACACACAGTAATTCAAAACAAACAAACAAACAAAACGAAACAGTGTTCAAAACCGTTTCACTTTTCCCAACAAAATTCTTGATTCAGATTTTCCCCACAGTAGGGGTCTGAGCAGGAGCTGATTGGAACCGTATCACACGGGGGGGGGGGGGCATGCAGAGCGAAGGCTTTGTCCCGCAGAGAACACCGCCCATCAGCAGCTCAAAGTGCCATTCGTGTCCTTAGTACTTTCTCTTCGAACACACACTTCACCATGGCAGTGACTAAACACAGCAAGGAAGAGACCCTTCCCCTAAGTAAAAAACATCATCACTCAATTTCTGTGCGTTTCTTCTGCATCTGCTTTTTGACGCCAAACGAGCTTTGTGCGTAAATGCTGGCAACCACAGCATATATTCTCAACACTTGACTGCCTGTTGTTTTCAGTGATTTGTTCACATGCAGCTGGTGACAATGGACAGGCGGGCAACCCCCTGCTGCCATCACCCCAGACACCCCGACTACGCGGGGAGCAGCAACTACCCTTGGCGCTCGCCGCAGACCGAGCGCTGCGCAGCCACCTTGTCCCCTTCCAGACGTCCCTTGCCTAGGTACAAGCCCTTTCCGTCCGCGATGGCCGCCAGGCTGACTCACCACCTCCCATCTCGAGACACCACCGACATTCCCGCTTCCCCCCACGCAGGCTTCGTGGGACGTGTTCACACACCACTGCCCCGAACCACCAGGTCAGGACAGCTGCCACACTGACGAGGCTCATCTTCCTCCGGCGCTCCCCCCGCCCCCCTGTACCTGAACGTGCCCCGAGGGGTTCATCCCTGTGACTCTCTGACACAATGGACATACCTTCAAACATGAACAGGTCTTGCGGGGCGTCAACGCAAATCAAAACAAAACAACACGCCCAACAGCAACAGAGGCAAGAGAAGGGCGGCTGAGGGAGCGCAGCCGCGGCTGCCGCCGGCCACAGCCCTTCAGCCCCCGGCTCCGGGCCGGCCAGCGCACTTACGATGAGCTCGATGTCGCCGTTGGAGCCTGCGTAGTCCTCCAGCACTGCCGCCTCAAAGCCCAAGTCCTCGACGAGCCGGGCTATCTCGAGTGGCTGGATGACTTCCGGGTCGTACTTGACCTCCGCCTTTCCGGCCATCAAGGCAACCAGCACGGAGAGAATACCTGAAACCGCCGAGCCACAGCTGTGACACCCAGCGAGGTCTCTGCGTGGTCCACACAGCCTCGCAAAGGCCCCCACGTCTGCCCCAGGTGTCTTTAGAACAATGGTTCTCCAACGGGGCTGCACGTTGGGATCGCTTTCAGAGCTCTGCACCAGCGCCACGCGGGGCCCTTGACCCGCGCCCCTTGAATCAGAATGTTCAAGAATCAGAATGAGTACCAGGTATCTTTTTGTTAAAGCTCCACAAGTGAGTCTAATGTACAGCCAAGCATGTAAATCAGTGTTCTAGAGCAATGTTTCTCATACTTTAGGGAGCATACGAGCCACCTGAGGACTTCACTGAACGACAGGCTCCGGTTTAGTCGGTCTGGGGTGGTGTCTGAGGTTCTGCAGGTCAGCCCAGCGCCCAGGCGATGCGCCCGCTGCCAGCCTGGGGGCCCCTTTGGGTCAGGCTCTAGGAGACCTGGTGGGCGCGTGCACCTCAGGGCAAGAGACCCAGCCTGCAGCGAGCAACTGCTGCTGCGTAACAGACCCACGCGGTCCGGCAGAAGTAACGCCCGACTGAGTGCGGCGGTAGGGGAATAATACGGGCGTAGTAATTTATAGTTTCAATGTGAACATTTCACCTGAAATGTCCTGTCGTGTGCTTGAGCGTGATACTGTTAGGTTACGGAACAACATGCTTATGGTTTTGTAATAAAAGATTTTCTAATAAAAAAAATGGGTGTTATTAGTGCCAGACCCTGTACAACAGTCTTTTTCTTCAGTCACTTTCATATAAAGAAAAATGACTTTCAAAATGGTTTCCCATCCTCTTTACCAGTTTGTGGTCACTTTCAGAGGTGAAAAAGGGACCCTGCTGACTACCTGGCCAACACCATTGTTTTGATTAAGGGTGGGCAAAGGTCATTCAAATAGATGAAAGCGATGACGTACTTTAGAAAAAAATGTCATAAGGGATAAAAATGAAGGGCTCAACTCAGGGACAGAAGCACAGGCACAGAGAGAAATAGGTTAATTTTACAGGCGGCCAGGCCATGGATGACAAAGGGAAGTCCTAGAACATGTCCATTTGAGCACGATCATTCTAAAGCTCCAGGGAGCTGAGGAGAGGCTGGAAAAAATGTCATTCTAATTCAGGGTTGATTCTCAGAGCCAGGAAGACAGATCAGAAAGACACGTGAAGCCACTGGAGCGAGGAAAAAGTTTCCTAACTCTGGTGGCAAAGGAGGGTCATGGTTAAAATATTTTCCAAACGAAAAATCGGGACAGGATTTTTGCCGCACTCCGAGGTTTAAGAGAATACTGAAAACAGTCTGAAGGACAACACTGCCAATTCCACAGCGTTCTGCAGTTTACACAGACAACAAGAGAGAACACTTGAAACTGGAACTTCACTAAAGGCAGGCTGTTCATTCACTTGATAGTAAGAGGTTGATGTGGTGGGAGGAGAAAGATGAAGATGCTACTAAGGACAAGCTAACTGAGGAGGCTTCCTACCCACGGGATGGGCCGTGAGCTCTGCCCGGGATTTCCTGCAGCTAACTTGGAGACGGATTTTATCTCATGCAAACTAAACACTCCTTAAAGAACAGATGTCACGTGCCCACGGACATGAGACAAACACCTACACGATCGCACGAGGCGTGTGCCCCCAGGTAGGGACGCTCCTGATCGAGGCAGTCCGCCGAGGCGCGGGAGGGAGAGCCCGCAGCTCTGGACGGGCAGGCGCCGCCTCCCCAGGGGGGCACGGCGCAGGCCTCTTACCAGCCTCCTTCTGCAGGCTTCTCTCTATGGTGGACACGCAGGATGCGCAGGTCATGCCCGAGATCTGCAAGAAGCACTTCTGCGGTGCCGCCGAGGGCGAGGCCTGCGGGGACTCGGCTGGGAGGCCAGGGCTGTGCGCCCTGGGGGGCGCCCCAGCGGGGACAGCCACCTCCCGGACAGACACAGGTGTGCTGGCTGCAGTCTGCGCCGGGCCGTTTGCTGCGCTGAGCTCTCCAACGTGGCTGCCAGCGCGGTAGTCTGGAATACAAGGTCAGAAATCGTTCAAGGTAGAAAACAAATAGCTGGGGTTTTCTTCACTACAGGAGGTGCAAGCCTGACCATGTTCAGCTGAAGGCGGGGAGGGGCTGCGTGGGCTGGTGTTTCCAGTCGCTGTGTCTCCTTCCCACCATCGGAGACAGCGGCATACGGTCCCTGTCGTGCGAAATGTGCCGGCACTTCAAGAGCAGAAAGTCCTGGCTGGATCAATGCTCTGGTTACCTGAGGAGAGCAGTGAGGAGCTCACCAGGCACTCTGCTGAGCACACGTGTGACCTCCGTTCATCCTAAGACAGCTCTGGGGTAAACACTCCTATCATTCCCATTTTGTAAAGAAATAGGTTGCAAGCAACTAAATAATGTCACCGAAACCCCTCAGGTCGTAAGCAGTGTAGCCAGATTTCAACTGGGCCTGTTCAACCCCTTCCACTGTGGTCACCTTCTGGACAGCAGGGCTCCGCGCTCTCCCCACGACAGTCACAACACCCCAAACAGCTTTGCTGGGTGTCTTTTTCTCGCTCTTTGCAGAAGTCCTGTCCACATTCTGGACACGGCCCCCCGTCAGCGGGATGAACGGCACCTTACCGGCTCCCAGTCTGTGGTTTGTGTTTTCACTCTCCCCTAACGAGGTCTCCTTTGATCAAAGAAGTCCTTAATTTAACGAAGCCCAACTCGGCAACCAACTAAACAACGTTGATGACCCGTGCACTGTGCTATTTCAAGATATTTGTCTGCATCAACACTGAAAATATTCCTGATATTTTCTTCTGAAAGCTTTATTATTTTTAATTATTGTTTTTTAATCCTCACCTAAGGATATGTTTATTGATTCTAGAGAGGAAGGGAGGGAGAAACATCGATTGGTTGCCTCCCGTACCTGCCCTGACCGGGGACGGCACCCACAACCTAGGTATGTGCCCTGACCAGGAACTGAACCCACAACCTTTTGGTGTATGTGACGATGCTCCAACTAACTGAGCACCTGGCCAGGACCAAAAGCTTTATTATTTTAATAAACATCCACATTCAGGCCTATGACATACTTCAAATTAACTTTTGTGTGTGGGGTGACAGGTCAAGGTTAATTTCTTCCCACTTGGATATCCTGCTGATCTGGCTCCGTATATAGAAAAGCCTATCCCTTCCCCCACTGAATTCTGAGGGTCAGGGTGCGGGAATTTTTGGGGGGGGGGAGGTGGGGGCCTTTATTCTGCCTTCCACATGTATATACACTGATGTAGGTAGTTTTGTCAAACCGATAAAGATACAGGATGTTTTCAGCACTCTAGAAGGTCACGCTATTTTGATGACACAAAAAACACATATAAGAGGATGTAGAAAAGATAATTTTACATTATTTAATGATGAAATCCCATTTGGAAATCCATAGCTGCAGAACATAAAAGTTGGTATTAACCTGTATTGACAACAGACAATGACTTTTAAGTTTCCCTTCTGAGCCCTGGCTGGTGTGGCTCAGTGGATTGATTGCCGGCCTAAGAAACAAAGGGTCACTGGTTCGATTCCCAGTTGGGCACCTGCCTGGGTTGTGGGCCAGGTCCCCAGTAGGGGGCGTGTGAGAGGCAACCACATACTGATGTTTCTCTCTCTCTCTCCCTCCGTTCCCCTCTCTCTAAAAATAAATAAATAAAATACATATATAAAAAAAGTTCCACTTCTGAATAAATCCCACACCTTGGGATGTTTCGCTCATTTTCTGAAATGGGCTAATGCTTCTTCTACCCACTGGAAGAGTCCAGCTGACGGAAACCTTGAGCCCCTCGGTGGAAGACCCCCGGTGCTCTAGGCTTCCAGGGCCCCACTGTATTGATGCAGAGACTGTCACCTCACCCACGGGCAACGGTTCACCCTCCTGGACTTCGCCATTGTTCAGAGTGACTCCACGCCTGGCATCGCACACTCACAAAATCTATTCTACAGCCACCTCTTAACACTCCACCTCCCGTACCCATCGACCCCTCTACGTCTGCCCACCCCCACCCCTGCCATTCTCCCAGTCCATCACCTGTTTTCTGGACTCACCTGCCTGTCTATCCCAATATTATGGTAACAGTTCCAATAATATCTGTGCTATTACAGGGAATCTCATACCTTTACTACCCTGTAATTTACATATTGCTATTCTTTAACACTGAGGTAGGACTCAACTAAATTTGGGGTTTCGGAGGATTGCTAAAGAAAGTTAAACTAACAAAGACCCAAACAAGCTGATGCTCCTGGGACCTGGACTAATCTACGCTAACACTACGGTGGGCATATAAATTGATTAGGCTTTCTGGAAGTCTACTTGGCAAATGCATTAGTAAAAACAGTACCTCCAGCTGCTTGGTACTTAATAGAGGCACAATAAATATTTGTGATGGAGTTAAATGATGTTTGCATGGTGTGGCCCAGCACTTTCAGACATTCAATAATCAAGTAAAGTAGGTGCGTGCACAAGGATTCAGCCTCAGCGATGCTCATCAGTATTACTTCTAATCACCTGCACCCAAAACAGACGGGAAGAGTGTGAGAGGAAACCAAGTCATGGTACCTCCACATGATGGAGCTGTGACTGAGGGAGCCTCCAGGCCCCCGGGAGGTGAGGTGAGATTATCAGCCGAAATGGTAATCTTCCGGGAACCTGGGGAGGGGGAGGCGGGCGGGGGCACGCGTCCGGGCCTTGGCCTGTCCGACCGTCTCTCCTGTTCCTTGTTCCCAAGCACCACCGCACAGACTGCTCTCCAGCCACCGCGGAGCACTCCTGGCACCCGTGGGCCTGTGCTGCGTACCCCCCGCCCAGAGTCTGGATGAATCCTTTCCATTCGGAAACCCTAGCCGAGCCCCGCTCTGACGTCACCTCCACCACCAAGTCTGTGGGAGCCCCACGACCAAATGCTGGATTTCCTCCTAATCCCAGCACTTTACCTACACCTTGCTCGCCTCTGAGCTCTGCGACTCATTAAGAACACAGACGGGCAGGTGCTCGGCTGCCGCTGAGCATGCCACGGCAGCCAGCACAGCGCCAGGGCGCAGCGCCCTCAAAGTGGCATCACACACTCACAGCAGTGACAGGAACACATTACACGACTTTTCCTTGCATGTCATTAATAATCCATCCACCTGTCCATGCACTTAGTCATTTACTCAAAAAATAGTTGCCATGAAAATCAGTGAACAGATGCAGAGCTGCCTTCTAGGTAAAAACCAGGGCTAAACGTATTTTTAGCTGTCAAATTATAACTACGTAGAAACCTTATTCTCTTTCATCTGGCCTCTTATTTTTTTCCCCCCTGTGACCCAAACTGTCCTCCCCTAGCACCCCGACTCATCCCCTCCCTCTCCGTTGCTTGATCACTAAGCCTTCAGGGCAACAAGGTTGCGGTCGGCACATGGGAGCCTCAGGAACTGCTTCACTGACTATATACAGAGACCGAGGTTGCCATCCAATGGGAGAGAGTATGTCAATACGTCGGCCTCTGTTGTGTTTTAGCTCCCGACCCAGGAAAGTGGAACAATCCCACAGAACAAATCCTTGCGAGGCCGGACAAAACAACTCCGCGGCCGATGTCAGGACCAAGTGCAACAGTCCACCACCCCGACCCTGGCACCCACCAGTCAGTAGAGACGACCGCAGCTCCCTCCGTCACGATGACTGACTCTCTACCCCTTTAGGATCCATCCCCTGGAAGCAGCAGGGGCCAGGTCTTTGAGCGCGAGCTAGCTGTGACTCCCGGCACGGCACCATCTCCTTATTAAATCCTTGCCTTCTTGGCTGCAAACTCCTGTCCGTGTCTTATTGGCCTTTGATGTGTGTAGGCAAGCAGACCCCTTCAGCGTGGTAACAAAATAAGCCGAGAGGCAAAGCCTGTTGCTCGCCCGTTGCTCTCAGGCCCTCCCCACCCGGCCCCTTCCCTCTGCTTCATTGTCAAGGGCCCTGTCTCTGCAAACCACTTTACGCAGGGTCTCCTGTCAGCTCGTTTCTGATTACACTGGGCACCCAGGAGGTAAAAAGTGGGAAATGAAGCTCTGGCCGGTGTGGCTCAGTTGGCGGGGCAGTGTCTCGCAAACCCAGAGGTCATGGGTTCGATTCCCAGCCAGGGCACATGCCTGAGTTGCGGTTCGGTCCCCAGCTGGGGCGTGCACAACAGGCGACTAATTGACGTTTCTCTCCCTCTCTTTCTTCCTACCTTCCCCTGTGTCTGAAATCAATGAAAGAAACAAAAAGTTTTAGGAAGTGGCAAACGGTGGTAGAGAAAGGAGGAAAAATGAGCGTTACCCATCTCCCCACTGGGACCCCAGTTCTGGCCACAGCCTTTCCCTCCGTAGTGCCAGTGCCACCAACTGCCTCGGGGAGCAGCGCCCTGGGCTCTAGGACACCCTCTCCTCAGACCCGCCTTGGGAAGGGGGCGTGGCTTCTGCTACTATTCATCTCTTGGGTTGGGTTTCCTTCCCACCGTCTGTTTTTTCAGCTGTTTAAAATCTCTATAAATACCGTATTTCGCCATGTATAATGTGTACTTTTTTGCCCAAATTTTTGAGGGAAAAATAAGGATGCATGTTATACATGGGTAATACTAAAACATATCTATATAAATGTTTTTCATTTTTATTTATGTGTATGCATTAAACGTATTAACCCTAGACAGCAATAGCAACATCTGTATGCAAAATAATACCCTGGAAATATGATAATCGGTTTTGTTCCTAAATATAAATAAATAAATAATTGAATTAAAAAATTAAAACGAAAGATTTTCTCCCTGAAAGTTTGGGCCAAAAACGTGGGTGCATATTATACATCGGAGCGCATGATACACAGCACAACGCACCGGCTCCCTGGATTAAAGCCCCCACTGAGCTCCCTGTGACTCGGCTGGTCCCCATCCATCACTTCCCGCCTCTCTCGCCTCCTTCCCAGATCCCGGACGCGTGCTGGGCGCTATTAAGCCAAAGGAGAAACAACAAACCACAGGGTCTGAAGACTGTCCCGCAAGACTTCCTACCCGATCCAGAATGAATAATCCAATCCCAATGATGCCTCTTTAACATTTAAGTGGCTATCAAGGGTAGTCACCAGCTCACTTCCAGTTTATCCAAAACTAAGATTGACAGGTAGAATACAGAGTGTCCAGTTGACTTTGAATGTCAGATAAACAATGAGTAGTGTTTTAGTATAAGTATGCCCCATGCAGTATCTGAGACATACTTATAATAAACTGTTATTTATCTGAAATTTAAATATAGCTAGGTGTCCTGTATTTTTATTTGGTAAATCTGATACCCTAAATACCTCTTAGAAGAAACACTAACTCTCATAACTCTGCCCAAGAAAAATCAACAGTTTTTTTAAAAATCAACAGTTTAATCAAATCCAATTATTCTGCATTACGTAGTTCAACGCAAATGTCTTTTTACTGCCAATAACCTGACTCCACTGTTGGAAGATGTTAAACCTCACAGAAATAGAGCAGATGTTGGCTCATTTTTAGGAAGGATTTCCTGTTCCCTTGTGTTTTTCTTATTTTTATTTTTAAAAAACACACACAGACAAAAAAGAAAAAAGAAAAGAAACAGAAACAAAAAACACTTTCCTCCTGAAACTTGGTACAAAGACAAAGTAAAGTGGGGGCCGAGGAAGCCCCCCGACCAACCCACTAGGGAGGGCGCGCGGGCAGGAGGCAGCACGGCAGAGCCGGCCGCCCCGAGACCCGCCTCACCTAGCGGCTGCGGGAGGACGGGCGCGGGCCCCGCGGGTCCGGCCGCCCCAACAGCGGCCCACGGGCGCTTCTCAGCGCCTCGCTGGCCGCCCCCGCGGGCACGGAGCTCCTGCCAGCGGCTGAGCAACAGGCCCGGTCCGGCCGCGTTGGCACTGACATGCGGGGCCTGCGCCTTGGGATGGAAACAGCGAAAACATGACCCCCCACACCTCTGTCCCAAACAAAATGTCCCGCGCTCCCCCCCATCTTCAGCCTCTCCCTCCGCCGCCCCTCCTCCCCGTCCGCCCCTCCGCCCTCGGCCTCAGCCCCAGGGGTTGGCCCCTCCGCGCCAGGCCGGCGGTGACCCTCCCCGCAGCTCAGCCTTGGCCTCTCTGACCCGCGCGCTGTGTGTCCAGGACTCTACCCTCTTCTCAAGTCGTTTGTCTGCAAGACCTTCTTCCTCCAGGTGGCCGCCCCGCCGGTGGCCAGTGCTGTCCCATCCCTCCGCAGCCCCTTCCCTCACACCCACTCTTCCCAGCCTTCTGCCCCCGCCCCGGGCCCCACCGCTCAAACCTGCACTTCCGCCCCACGCACGCACCCTCGACCGGACCGAGCTTGGCGGCTGAGACCCGAGCGTCCTCCAGACCCCGGCTGGGCCCGCGAGCCCCACACCACACCCCGCCCCGCCCGCCAGGGGCCTCCTGCAGCAGCACCAGAGCTGTGCCCCCCCACCCCCCCGCGACCCATACCCACGGGTGACGCCCCGGGCCTTTACAGGGAAGTCCCCGCTCAGCTGGACGCGCAGGCCCCACGTGAGGCGGCCCGGCCACGGCCCCCCACCCCCCGCCCTTGCAGTCGGTGTCACACTCGAGCTGTAGCCGAAAGGAAAGTCCGGCTGCCTGCCGCCAGGAACGCCAACACTCGAGCGGCAGGTGCTGGCGGATTTTCAGGTGCCAGCCACCTGGGAGACGGAGCAGTCCGGTCTCAGGGCCCCCCACCCGCAAGAGGCGGTAGAGGTTTCTCCAAGGAGGGGGTGGGAAACAGAACAAAGAGATCAAGGGAGGAGGTCGACGGGCGCAGTCCCTTCCCGCAAGTCAAGTGAGGGTCCTGTGTGCCTCCCACTGGTTTAGTCACCCTGGCTCCACATTATCCCGGTTTTACGTCATCCAGGCTCCACGGCTGGTCAGCATCCGTCCAGCAGACGGCCTGTCTGAAGGTCAGAGCCTGTGCCTTCTGAAGTTAGTTCCTAGGACTCCTACACAAACAGGCTGTTTAACTACAAGCTACACATGAGCCAGAGTCAGCACTTAGGGGAGCACCATCAAGAGAAAGGCGGAGTGATTTACAACCCCCCACTGTTAGAGTCCCCCACTGTCACACAGCCCCACGGCCCGGGAAGCTCCTCCCTGGTCCCCTGCCCCTCCCGGCTCCCTCCCACTCACCCTCCAGAGGAGCCCTTCCTAAGCCCCTGGCCCAGGCTTGCACAGGGCTTGTCCCTACAGGTCCTGCCCTCAGGACCCCTCCCTCCACTGCTCCATAAGCTTGCAGGAGCCGCTGCGGGGCCGCGCCCAGTGGCCCACAGCTCAGCCGGCCTGGTGCACCGGGGAAAGGATGCAGCGCCTGCCGGGCTCCCGGGGCAGGAAAACGAAAGAACGTCGGCAAGGGAGTGGCCAGGGAGAGGAGCAGGGACGCAGGGATGGCCACAACCCTGGAAACTCTGGTGAGTGAGGTGACAGCAAGGTATGTGCACACCTGGCTTTGCGGAGATGGTCGCCACACCTGTCTTCTCACAGACATGGGGGGCGGGGCATGGGGCGGGGGAGCGGGCAAAGGAAACCATCCCCGACCCCTTCCCTTAATTTCCACTTTCAAGGGAACGGGCTGCGGGCGGTGCAAGGGAGGCCACGTTATTTTTATAGCTCTATTCTGTTTACCAGAGAAATCTTGAGAGGAAGGGTTGCTGCGTCCTTGGTTACAAAGGAGCCTGACGTCCCTACTGGACCCTTGAAAACCAACCAACCCCCCAATCCGAGTTCTGCTCAGAAAAGAAGGCAGGGATCCAAGGGCCTCCCCATTTGAGTCCCGGCTACAAGAGGCAAAACCTAAACACGTGGCAATTCCACCTCCTCTCCCCTGAAACACTTAGCACGCAGGGCCAGCTGCAGGACACCGGCCACCCGCGAGGGGGCAGAGGCCGGGGCGGGCGGTGCGGGGGAGGCTGCCAACCGTATTAACTACGTACCAGAAACGACCGAAGCCTCAAACCCCACGTCTTCCACGGCGGCTCGGAGCTCTTCGGGGCTCGTTACCGAGGGGTCATAGAGAATCGCTGCAGTCCCTTCCGCCAGAGACACTGATGTCTGCTGCACCCCTTCCCTCCGGCAGAGCAGGCCTTCGATGGACTGGACACAGGAGGCACAGTTCATGCCCGCAACAGCCAGCCGCACGGTGCGGCCCGCGCCTGGCCCCTGGCTTCCCTGGACCCCGCCCGGGGAGCGCCGCGCGGGAGGCCTGTCGTCTGTCCCACTTCCTTCTGCTCCGTCAGCAAGAGAGACTTTAAAGTGCCCCGGCGGAAGCGCCTCGATGGCCCTCCGCAGGCCCTCCGGGGAGGCAGAGGACGGGTGGAACTGGATCTGAGCGGTCCCGTCCTCCAAGGACACCTGAACGCGCCGAACCCCTGGGAGCTGGCTGACATTCTCTTCAATGTTCCGGACACAAGACTGACAGCGCATGCCCTCGACTCGCAGCTGCAGGGTGACCACGTGGTCCCCGGGGGGCTCCGCGGTCTGGGAGTTGTTGGCATTCTGGTTAGACGGTGAAGGTGTCTTTGAGTTGGTGCTCTGTAGCCGCCGGATGTCGATCCGCCCCAGGCTGACCGGAGCCACTTTGTTCTTGACGACAGCTTCAAATCCAAGGTCATTTACGTGGTCCCTGAGGTCTTGGGGTCCAATGAGGTAAGGCTGGTAAGTGACGACGGCCTCCTGGCTGCTGAGCGACACCCTGACGCGCACCACTCCCTGCAGCTTCCCGAGCTTGCCCTCGATGGAGCTGACGCAGGACTGGCAGGTCATGCCCTCCACCCGAAGCTTGACCACGGCCTCCAGGGCTGGCGAGGACCGGAGAGGCCAGGAGTCAGCCTTTCCTTCCGCGATGCTGGCCCCAAAGCCCATGTCCTCAATGTGACAGCAAATCTGCGGCAGGCTTATCACCGACGGCACGTACTTCACCACGGCGCTGCCGAGCTCCAGGGAAACCGTGATGCTCACGATGCCTCTCAAACTGGCAATCCCGTCCTCGACAGACGTCACACATGACTGGCAGGTCAGGCCCGAAATGCGGATGGTGCCGGTGGCCGCCTGCAAAGGGCACACGTTGTCCAGACTGCCCTCGTAGCCGGCGTTGTCAAACGCGAAACTCTGCTTCATCGCCGCTTCGCCGACGCGCGCAGGCAAAGAAAGTTTAGCCAGAATCTAAAAGAAAGAGAGAGAACTCTTTTTCAATCCTTAAAACTATTTTTTTCCCCTAAAATATCCCAGCTTGTCCAGCGCTGAGAAAATGGAAAGCAATGCCACCGGCGTCCAGTGCGGTCCCGGGAGGACAAGAGCGTGAAATGCAGAGAAAGAACAGGGCGGGTTGTGACAAGCGGAAGGCAGGTGGCTTTCTAACGTGTGGAAGGACTATTGAGGGAAACCCGCGACGTCCCCACGCACCGGCGCCGTTTTTGCCACTCACACTGGCACTCACAGACTTGACTCTCAGAGCCGGTGGCAGTGTCACCTCTCTGGAAGACAATGTGGCAATGCCTACTGAAATGACACGTTCACATAGTCCTTGACCCAGGAATTCTGTGTCTAAAAGCTTAGCCAAGACACATGCATGTTCATACGCGAAAGGAAGCATGCCACAAAGGCCTGGGAACGGCGCACACGTCTCCAAGGAAGAGGATGGTTAAGTTAGGGCACAGCCACGCGACGAGCACTACCCCGCTCTTACAAAGAACACGGCGACTCTGTCACTGCCGAAGACACTGGTGTCTACCACAGCGCCCAGGGAAAAGAGTGAGGCCCGGGACACAAGGCACTTCAGGTATCTGTCACTTCACAGCAAACCAAATTTAGGGGCTGCACCGAAAGCCCACGGCTTTTCAGTTTGGACAGGGCTCCATAGGGAAAGCTCGCTCTCGGCGCCGCGCAGCATCTTCCGGCGCGGACGGCACGGGCCGGGGCTCCCCTTCCACGCCCGCCCTCCTGTCCCCGGCAGGCGAGGCCGGCTGCCGTCTGGGAGCTGCTGGCAGAGACCTCCGTCCTCTTGCACGCAGCCTTTCCAAGGGCAGGCTGGGGACCTCACCTCTGGTGGCCTGCGGGCCCTCTGACAGGGCGCGTCACAGCGCCTCCCCCGGGAGCAGGTCCCAAAGCGCAAGCACTTAGGACGCCTGACCCTGCATTACACTAGCTGGCCATCGGCTGAAGCCGAGTCACATGGCCCAAGCTCAGTCAAAGTGGGAGGGAATTACATGAAGGCTTAAATATAGGGAGGTGTGTGTAGTTCATTGGGAAGACCACCAAAATAACCCACCGCAGCCGGCTGGCACTAGGTGGGTGAGAAAGACTGTTCCACACATAGATGCTTATACAGGCCTGGGTTCCCTCTGGGGGAACAGGTGAGGAACAGGGGCAGAGTCTGGGCGCGCGGGGCGCTTGCCGGGAGCAGGCGGCTGGGGTATGGGGGTGGGAGGGAAGTTACTTTTCACTGGACATCTTCTTGTGCATTACACAAGTGCTACCACATTCTAATCATTAACTTAACAATTAAAGTAAACAACATGAGCATAAAGGAGATCCAGAATAGTGACCTGATCGTAACAGGTATCAAGGAAATACATGTTTAACTGGAAAAGCTGAAGGGAAAACCTAAGAAAATAGCCAAGGACATTCCCTTTAGCGTAGCATCCTAGTAAGCAGACACTGCCTCCTTATAGTAAGACCTAACCCTCCATCACCCAGGAAAAATACACTTCTGCCCAAGTTATTTTTCTCGGTCTGCGGTCTAGCTACCACTCACCAAACCCCCAATCACAATGCTGGCTCTTAATCCCTGGATTACCGGCCCAAAGGGTTTGCAGAAGCGCTGGAAGCTATTTGTTTGTAGCAAACAATACCCAGAGGCCCCCTTCCTGACAGGCAGGTTTCTAACAACAAGCAGTTGTGGAGGACAAAGCTTCGCAAACAACACAACTCTGTGAAACACCAGAGTGCCCGTGGGTTTACAGCCTCCTCTTGGGTAGTTTCCGTGCACACACGTGGGGAGCGGTGTGGGGTGTGCTTTTCATTCCACTCTTCAGACAATCTTTGGTGGTACAAGCTCTCCCGTAATGAGTTCAAGGAGGTTTAGGTTTAAGGGCTCCTGGAGCAGCCAAGGAGAGTGGGCCCAGGACGCAAATCCTATGCCCGGGAAACCTCTGGGAAGCCCTGGCGGGTGCTCCTTAATTCTCCCTGAATCACACCCTCCTGGGGACAAGCAGCTGGGACTTCTGCGGGCCCAGCACCAGGCTGGGGGAGGACTTCTGCCAGCTGTGGGGGTTTTCATAAACTACTAATATCATAGGCATCAGGATTAGAAGGGGCTGGAAACACTAGAGAAAAGGGGGACGGCAGAGGCCAATCCAAAATGAATTTCTATTCTTTGCTATCTCTTTAGGCACCCAGGTCGCATGGAATTTGCTGAGAGTGCCAGGGCTTTAAAAAAAAAAATAGGTAAAGGAATATAAATTGTCGCTTCACTCAAACGGGGCAAGGAAAGGAAAACAAGACCTTCAGAGAGGCCAATCTGGTATGAAGAAATTGGAAACGGCGCAGCGGGTTTGGATGAAAAGTTTGCAAAGGCCGGCTGAAAGTCAAAAGCCCCAAAATGGCATGCCTTGTAGAAAAGACCTGTGATTCCAAATCTAAGCGCAACACAACCACAGTGGGAGAGCCACTGGCCGCTACGGCCGTCGCTCAGTTCTGCCTGGATCCCCTTAAACAGGGCGCCGCTTGCCCACTTACGCTGGAGATTTCTCTCACTCTGAAGGGTAACACCCTTAACCACTTACAAGCCAAAAATGTTATGTATGAATGCAACTTTTCCAATACATAACCTCCACCCCATACCACTCTATATTCCTGGACTTTCACGAATTCAAAATACATAAAGGTCCTGAGGGGTTTTTTTGTACGTACACAGACCCAATGATAGCAAATAGTTAATGATTCTCAGTGTTATTTTATGAGGATGACATTCTATATCCCTAATACTCCCTGTTATTCTATCAGTAGGTATTCTTATCACCATTTTACTATTGAAACAGACAGATTTATCGAAGGCCATAAATCCATTTAAATAACAGCTAGAATTTAAATGACCAGGTCAAAAGTCTAGCGTGCTCTTTTTCACAAAACAACTCTGGAGGTTACTTTTTCTTGTTAGCCACAGTAATTACGGGAAGAGACTACGAGGCGGAAAAGCAAAATGAAAGAAGCCCAGAAAAACAGCCACGCGGCACAGTCTGTAGCGAACGCAGCAGCCGGGCTTCCAGAGCCGGAGCCTGGCCTTCTCCCCCAGCATCTGCCCCCTCTGGCGATCGCAGGCACTTCGGAAAAACCACGGCAGAAATCAGCACTCCCTCTGCTTTCTTCAACACTCCTGACTCCCAACACATGCAGCTCCCAGGGGGCAGAGGGAGCAATGGTTTGGGGACCTTTACGTCCTCCTGAATGCACTGCGCCCCTGCCTCGCTCTCTTCCCATCTGGTGATTCAGCGGACGCCAGGGCTTCGCAGGGGAGAGGGCCAGAAGGGACTGCGTGAAGAGCTCTCCCCGAAGCAGGCAGCTGGGTGTCGGCCTCTAAAACCCCCGCTTAGGAAGAAGCAATGCCCCCATGTCAGACCTATGTGCACACAGACTTACAGGAGTATGTACACACATACTAATACATACATTTGAGGTTATTTACGGGTAAGCTATGAAATTCTATCTTTATATACAAGATGGGGCAAAAGTAGATTTGCAGTGGTTTGTATGGAAAATAATATAACAATTAATAAATAACAGCACAAGAATAATGTAAGAATGTAAGAATAAATAAGTCATGTACTCACGACTGTAAACCTACTTTGCCCTACCCACTGTGTATTTTCCAATTTTTAAAATTTAAATTAAAGAAAACATACAAGTATTCCTTTCATAGCAGGAAACAAACGTGGTTTTTCAGTTTATCTAAGGCAAGGAAGAAAACGTTCTGTCAAACCATACTAATATAAGCAACAGCACTATTAATGATTGTGATGGAGGCGGCAACGATGAACTGACGGTGCGCTCGCACACGGCTTTCTACGCTACAGAACAGCTACAGAACATTTGCTTGTACGTTTGTTTAAAAGGGTCTTTCCTACTTGTGGTGAATTCCCCAAGGACGCGTGGACAGCCTGGGGTATGAACTGCGGCCTCGCCCATGCGAGTCCAAGCCGTGCCTTCAGCGTAGGACAGGGCGGTAACACCCCCGTGACAGCCCTGCAGGGAAGCCTGACAGCCGAGGGGGCTGGGAAAGGCTGGCATCACAACTATTTGAAAATGACTGACTGACGACCAACACAGCCTCCTCACTTGATCTTCGAAAGCAGCTCAGGGGCGAGGGCAGGGAACTTATTTTCCACCATTTTACTGATGAGGAAAACTAATCATTAAAATTAACATACAGCCCTGGCTGGTGTGGCTCAGTGGAATGGGTGCAGGCCTGAGAATCAGAGGGTCGCTGGTTCGATTCCCAGTCAGGGCACAGGCCTGGGTTGCGGGCCAGGTCCCCAGTAGGGGGTGCGTGAGAGGCAACCACAGGTTGATGTTTCTCTCCCTCTTTCTCCTTCCCTTCTCCTCTCTCTAAAAATAAATATATAAAATATTTTTTAAAATTAGCATATATATTCCCCCACCCCCACTTTAACCCCTTCCAAGTGGCCTTTATCACTGTTCCACAAAGGTCCAGAAAGAGTTTCCAGTGATTGTTTATGTTTAATCTACCGAAGACAGGTTGATGAGGGCCCTGTGGGTGCTGTACGCCTGGGCTGTGGGTGCCCTCCAGGGGAATTCCATACAAATGACCATTTATTGCCTGTCCCCTCTTCACCACAGCAAGAAAAAGATACTAACCCTTACAGAGAAACTGGACGCAGTAGATCCACTATTGGCCCAGGAGAAAAAACGTAAAATTAACAAACCTTCATACATACATACATACAAACATAGTTTTCTACAAACAACAAAGTAAAATTTCGGAACCTACAAACTAGAAGGCCTCTCCAAGAAGCACCCCCGTCTCACCTCCAGACACCCCCTCACACTCTCATTCCACACAGCTTTACCATTGGCTGTTTCCGCGGATTCCATTGCTTTTCACATCTACGTGCTAGAACAACGATTTCATCAGTTTTCTCACTCAA